TTTAGGGTTTGGTTTTGAGCTGAATTTCGTGGACCACGATGCCAAAAGCCCATTTTCGCGGGCCATCGCTAAATGCTGTATCTATTTTCTGTTAGTTTAGCGGCTATCTCCGGCTAAGCACAACTATTAGCGCCCAATAAATCTTAGTGTCAAAACTGAAGTCTCCTAGCTGTCCCCTCCCTATCCGCTATCTCCGGCTATAGTGGCAGTATAGCCAGACATTTAGAACATTGCTAATCACCCATACAAAGCGAGATGGATAATTAAGTATTAACTGTTATAAATTTAATAAATAGATTATTTGATTTTTGTAAAAATATATATATATATACTTCCTCCGTCTCATAATATAGCAACTTAAAACTGAATGGGTACAAATTTGTTGTACTATAAAATGTCCTACATTGTTATATTATGGGACGAAGGGACGAAGAGAGTATCATATTTAGCAGTTTGGAAAACGGTGTGAGAAAACGAGAGTCCGAATACTTCAGCCGTCGCACGGGCGCTTGCGATTGGGCTGCGCTTCGATCTTCGCGGCCCAATCACACAGAAAGCACAAAGATGATTGGGCCGTTGGACCGATGCGTGATTGCCATTTCAGCCCGCACTTCCCAAGGGCTCCAAGCCCATAACGCCTGTCTCACAAAACGAGTAGGGCCCCACATGTCAGTGGCCGTGAGGGAGCACAACCCGCATCCGGTAAAACCCACCCGTCCCCAACCTCTCCGTCCAATCCCCCACCGCGCCGCCGCATCCGCCTCCGCCGACGCCGGCGCCGCCCGTGGTCTTCCTCCCGCCCGCCGCGCGCCGGGAGATCGATCGTCGCAGCTCACCGGATATGGCGTCTCAGCCGCCCGCCCTCGATATCCTAGGTACTCTTTGCCCCCTTCCCACCCTTCGTTTTGCGCCCCCCACGATCTCTTCCGCGAGGTTGGCTACTTAGTACTTACCTAGTCTACCACCCGTTTGACGAATTGCTCGACCCGGGGCAACCGCAGTGCGCGAGCCGGATGGATTCAGCGTGTGGTCGGGCCCGCCTTACCCGACGGGCTCCGCCCCGCCGGTGAGGCTCCCGAAGACGGCGTGCAGCGCCACCTACTTCTCGAGCGACGGGTCCCGCCTCCTCGCCACGGTGGCCTCGGCCTCGGCCACGGTCTACGACTGCCGGACGCTCTCCGTCGTCAGGTCGTTCGAGCTCCCGGGCCTCCTCGCCGCCGCGCTGTCGCCCGCGGGGACGTTCCTGCAGACCTTCCAGAAGTCGTCCTCGCCGCAGGAGAAGAATGTCACCGTTTGGCATGTCGACACCGCCACCGCGCTCTACCAGCACTACCAGAAGAATATGTCTAAGGCCACGTGGTTCGTTTTACTGCAACTTTGCTTCTTAGAATTATGATTCTTGAACTCCCATGCTTAATATTACAATCTGATTTGAGAGCTTTTAGTATGTGCATGTTTTCTGGTTGTGTCATAAAATTTTTCCGCATATTATGCTTGTAGAACTTTGTAAGAAGGAGCGTATATTTTCTTTAGTTGCTTACATTCTAGTGCATTTGTTGTTGCAATCATTTTGTCTATAGTAATAGCAGTTTGAAATTATAATTGTAAATGAACCTTGTCAATGCTCATATGCTACTGCAAGTTTGTTTCTCTTTTTATGCTTCTAATACAAAACTTCTGAAGAAAATAATTCTAGTAAGAAATTTATCCTATGCACACGATGCTTTGACTGGATACTGGTTAAATTTGTTGATCCTGAATTTGTGAGTGCAGTATTACTTGTATTATAATTCTAAATGGATTAGGTGAAAAATATGACCTACAGCAGCCTGAGAGAACTTGTATTCATGAATTTGACCAAATCTCGATTGCCAAATGGTTTGCTGTGTTTAAATTTGATGGAACATGTCATGTTGATTCACAGGCCAATGGTTCAATTTTCTGCGGATGAGTCAGTTGCTTGCCGCATGATGACTAATGAGATACAATTCTTTGATCCAAAAGATTTCACAAAAGGTTTTGTGTACAAGCTAAGAATGCCTGGTATAGCTGCTATGCAGCTAGCAAGTGCACCGGGATCTCATGTTGCTGGATTTGTTCCTGAGGCAAAGGTCTGATTTATCACAACCACTTTGATCATGCTTTCACAAGACACAAGTCTCACAAGCTGATTGTTTTTTTATTTCCTTTTTTCTCTTTAAGTAGGGTGTTCCAGCTAGTGTTCAGATCTTTTCTTGTGACAAGGATGCACAGGGCCAAGCTGTTGCGCGTAGGAGTTTTTTTCGCTGTTCTACTGTTCAATTTCACTGGAATAAGGGGTCCACTGGGCTTCTAGTTGTTGCTCAAGCTGATGTGGATAAAACTAACCAGAGTTACTATGGTGAAACCAAGTTGAACTATTTAACAACTGATAGGGCCTTTGAAGGAATTGTTCCTCTCAGTAAGTACTAAATTCATAGATATTGATGACTGTTTCTCTAATATCTGATCATTAAGCCCATCGTTAACTGGCAGAAAAGGATGGTCCGGTGCATGATGTGCAGTGGTCTTACTCAGGTTCAGAATTTGCTGTGGTCTATGGATGTATCCTTGCAGTCTCAGTTTTTACATGCAATGCGGTAATTCAAGTTTAATATCTCAAATACTTTGTGCTCCCTTTGTCTCCTTGGAGTGTTCCTTGACAGAATCTCAGTTATGCCGGCCAGAGCAACAATATTCAACAAAAAATGCAACCCTCTTCTGGAGCTCGGTGAAGGCCCCTACAATACAATAAGATGGAACCCAAAAGGGCGATGTATCCTTAGCAATAATTTGATCCAGTAGCCTTTGCTGTGTGGTCTGCTTTGAAGGGAACACACTCTTTATAAAAGTTGGTCTGTTACTGTTCAAGTATAGCCATATAAATTTTACAGGTCAGTCATGATTTGCCTGGTGATATCCTTGACCTCATTTTATCGACCAGTTATCGTTTTAGCAGGGTTTGGTAATTTGCCTGGTGACATGGTATGTTACTACACGACTACCATATTTATATGAGCCTTTTACCTTTATATGGGAAATACCACCGTTTTCTTGATATACTCTTTTAGGAGACAATCTTAAACAAACTAGAAAAGCTAAAAAAATGATTTAATGTTGCTAGGCGATTTGCAAAATAGCCACAGTGTAACTGACAGAGTATTTTCTGCCTAGGCATTCTGGGATTATTCAGAAAAGAAATTGGTAGGAAAAACAAAGGCTGAATGTTCTGTTACGAGTGAATGGTCCCCTGATGGTCGCCATTTTATGACTGCTACAACAGCTCCGAGACTCCAAATAGACAACGGGTACATTTTTTGCAGCCTTTGGAGTATTAATGAAAATGGGTAGCATCATTGTGATCTTTATCTTTCCTATTACAGGATTAAAATATTTGACCACAATGGATCTCTGCAGTTCAAGAAGATGTTTGAAAAGCTGTATCAGGTATCACCGGGCACCTGTTCACCTCAGTGTGACCAGTTTGTTGTAGACGTGCATGCTATGTTGGTTCTGCATGCTAACTCCTAAGTCCTAAACAATTTGTAACGAGTTGATAAAATATTTCCATAATCACACACACTCCATCCTTGATTTTTCTTTTTTTTTGAATTACACAGGCTGACTGGAAGCCAGAAGCGCCTGAAAAATTTAGTGACATTGCCGACCTCACGATATCGTTGGGTAGCATAAAAATTGAAGAAACGAAAAAACAAGGTTCTTTACACTTTCTTATATTCCATGTTAGTAAGTTCTGGTCAATTGATTTACATACTTCATTTTCTGTATAGTTTCAGCACAGGGTTCTAAATCAGCACAACCATCAAGCAAGGCCCCTGCAAATATAGCAGCGAAACCTACAGCATATCGACCACCTCATTCAAAGAATTCTGCAGATGTTCAGGATAAGGTATATATTAGAGATCAATTAGTAAGCCGTGTTAGAGTTGCAACAAAAAGAAGTGTGCATAAATCTTGTTTACTATTTGTTGCATCGTTGTGCTGAGTAAATCCTTGGTTATGCTGGCTCAATTGCTGACTTATAGTTTATACACATCCAAGGCTGCAAAATCCCTATCCAAGCAAACTGCTGTGGTTTTGTGCAGAAACAAGTAGTATTGTTTGTTGGTCGCACTCGGCCAAATATATTTGGCTCCTTTTTTTCCCCGATGTTTTATTGGCTCTATTTCAAGTTGTTAAAGAACTCAAATTTTTGATATTGTCTATTGGCTTAACACATTTGTTTGGTGAATTGCAGCTTTTTGGTGGGCTTGCTTCTACGGGGTTAGTTTCTTGATCGATAAATTAGTTTTCTTGTCTTGTTTTATGTAATTATTTTTACCTCTATGCATGATCACTAACATTGCAACTGGGACAGAGGAGAGATGAGCAAAAATGCACTGAGAAATAAGAAGCGCAGAGAGAAACAGAAGGAGAAGAAGGCTGCTGAAGGATCCGGAGCCTCTGCTGATGACAATTAAATCCACTTCTACTCAGTGAAATGGTGTCTCAATCCAGAAAAATGGCATTTTGCCATTTGAAATGTAATCACGCGAATATGCTGTCAAAGTAACACTGCCTGGGAAACTGTCCTTGATTCCGCGCGATTAATGCACCCTGCTTCTTAGATCTGTTGTTTCTTGATACAAGAACGGCTCGAAATTTTGATAGTTTTTGAAGTTTGAACTGATGGTTTGTATGACAAAACCAAAAGATACTATCAAAGCTACTCCTTTCATTTCGTTAGTAACTGATGATTAATAGTAGCTTCACTGACGATGTGAAAATTGGAGAACAGAGAAATACGCATGGTATCATGTGAAAATTGCATAAAGGAATCTTCTTCACGTAGTATAAAAGTGAACTTATTTTGGATATACATGTCTATGTTTAGATTCATATATAAAAGTGAGCTTATTTTAGAATGGGGGGATATCTCATTTTGATGCCTAGTAGTCCGACACGCGACAAGAATTCATATGTTGTGTTCAGCGAAGAAGCGCTTCGGTACTTACTACTCGTTTTCCATTGAAGATTATACATTTGGAGCCACGTTGTCAAGGGTGACCCATTACATTCCAACGCTAAGGAAACCAAACCAAAATGCAGTGAAACCAAGCTACACCGGTTCAACTTCAACATAATCTACAATTTGCCGCATATGACATGAGACGCCGGCTAGCTTATATATGCGATCTCATCAACTACAAAATTGCCAGGAAGTTACTCACTTGGTTAGTGCTTAACAAAACGTAGAAAATACGCATTAACGAACAAAGAAGAACAAATCACTGCCCCGGGCAAGGAACGCTATCCAGATTCCAGGTCATTGCACCAGCCATGAAAACAGTACTGCTCATCGCCACATCCATGTGCTTCAGAAGGCCAAAAAGGAACAAGGGAGCACCTGAACTAAGACTCCTGCGCATGCGGGCGCCAATTTCCTCGGCAGAGTTCCTCCATAAGATGAACAAACTTTTGAGGCTGTTGCCACCAAGTTGGTTTGGAGGTGGCTGCTCTTTCATACTGGTCTTCTTGTGAGCCTTCACTTTGCATAAAGCTCTCTGAGAAATTGCGCCATTTTTGCATGGCACGTTTCAACCGCGCAGTACGCTTGCCAGTAACAAGATATCTGGTGTAGTCCCTGGCGAGGCGATACAGCTCCTCACCTCTGATTATATGGATGTACTGCAATATTACACAAATACAAATTAGTTTCTTAATATATATTTAGTGCCTGTTGTTTATTTTGAAGCTACATTACACCGACTTTTTCTGTGACTACACCGAGACTTTTATGGAATACCCAGATAATATTGCTCTTAACAGTGAAATGGTGCTCTCAGTCTCCAGTTTCTATGCAGTTTCAATGCATGTAGCAAGTCTTTTAGTGCATTGACCATGGAGCTATCTACAGGTAAGTTGTTTCGACATTACAGTATGTCGTTAATAGTTAAGCTAATCATAATAAGATACTTGGAAAGCAGGACTATGCTACAAATTGGGGTAAAAGTGAAAGTGTCAGAAGAAATAACATTCGGAAAGAGAGTACAAACAAGAATGTAACGTTAGTTACCACAAGAATGAATGCAACGGTTGCTAAGATAACTTGGACTAGTTCATCCAATGATTCCTTGAATGATTCATCTTCTGGGCCACCAGAATCACCACTGCCTCCACGACGATTTCGGTTTCCTCCACCTCCACCAGATCCTTGTTCTCTCAGCTTAGCTATCTGTTCTTTCAGCAAGTCTTGAATAGGCCGTGGCTTTTTGGCATCATCCATGGCCTTCTTCAAAGATTCCATAAAGGGCTGCAACAAGGCAATATACATGCATTGTTAAGCAGATAATTCTGCAAAGCAAGTGCAATGCTAACAGAAATTAAATCTATGTAAAAATTGTAAATGCATGTTTCTAGCAAAAAAAAAGTGTAGTGCAATAAACTGGAAATGCATAACCATCTCTCCATATAAACTTATGTATTTTGTTTCAGTATGCTAGAGTACTGTTTCAATATGAATAGCAAACTAGGACGTCTCAAATAAATAAGATGGGCCAACAGATGCTCAGATCCAGTAATGAAGTACTCCCTCCGTCCCATCCCCTCCTAGGTTGAGGTTTTTTGGAACGGAGGGAGTAAGTAATTGTCACATTCAGAAAAAGATTATGCTCACGTAAATATGAGCCACAACTACATTGACTTCACTTAAGGTCTTACAAGATGACAAGAGATTGAGAGTTTAACCAATACAGGTATCAAGAGATATAAAATAGAAGGAAACAACAGTTTGATAGGCAGAAGTTTGTTTTGGGAGAAGATGGAGCACATATGAAAAAAAAAGAAAAAGAAAAGGGGTTGAGCAAATTGATACTACAAAAATTGCAATTATCAAATCAGACCATATGTTCCATGCTCCATCATACATTCATGCACAAAAAGGACATGCCAGAGACTTACATCATTTTCTGCCTCTGGGTTCACCTTTCCACTCGAGGCACATAGAGGAGGAAGCTTTTTCTGGCTAGCAGCAACAAGAACAAGTCGCGGGTACACCTGCTTTTGAAGCTTGGGAAATCGAACAGAATGTGTCGTTAGGGAATATTGAGGATGAGATAGTAATCTGCCTGTCCTCCCAAGACCAGCGACGGGCCTATCCACAATAAGCCCACTGTTCGGCTTGCAAGTGAAGTAGCTCATGCTTTTCTATTTCTTGAATAGTTAGATGCACCAGATCCTAGCCTGCAAATTTTTCAGGCAGCATAAGAACTTCTCATGAATTACAGAGAAGTGCTAATCTATCGGAAGATACAGAAACTAACATAGTTCAATCGTGTCGAGTGGAAACATAGTGAATTTTATAATAGAAAAAAGGGAATGCTGGGCTCCCCAACTCCCTCTATAAAGCATTAAGCGATGAATATCTACTTATATATACCAAATATTGCAATGTAGACTTTCTAAAAAAACAGATGAATTTGAACCCTTCTGTCTAATCATACACATCCCCTTCCATATAATGAGGTAAGGAGATTGTCCAGTGTGACATTTGCAAGCAAGTCATAAATACTAACTAACCTGTGTACCCAACCATCCAATATGGAAATCACATAAAATAAGTGACGTCTTATTGAAAATAAGACTGTTATAGGAGTAAATAGAACTCTACAATAGAAATGTTGTCATGAGAAAAACTCTGGTTACTGGACATGAGGACACAAAACTACAATACTAATCACATAATCCCATCAACTCATTGGTGCCAAAACTATGCCACAAATCACAAGCAGAATGCCAGACCACATGCATTCAACATGTTGGAATGGACGGCACAATGCACCTGTCTTTCTTGCTATTTCACACAGAGGGACACCGGACACGGAAAATCACACCTTTTTTTCCCAAGCAAGTCCAACTCAAGAACCAAACTTAAGCTGAGGGGGTAAACCACAGCGCAAGGCAAGCATCTACCTCCACCAAGAAAGCACCGCCAAATAACGAATTGAATTGGTGCAGGTTACCTCGAACACCAACGGTGATGGATACGTATTCCGTAAGGTGGTTCATGGCGGTGGACGGCAGGCGGCGAGGCGGGGGTGCGGGGTTGGTGGTTGGACGGGCGAGGCGGGGTTTCCAAGAAGGCGGGTGACGAGGAGAAGACGAATCGGAATACCAAACTAGCTTCTCCTCTCGCTATCCCCACAATTCCAAAACTATCCCCACAATTCCAAAACGAGCGAACGCATCCTACCCACAAAGAGGCACAAACCAGGAACCTTCCCGGCGGCGGCGACGACGACCACCGTCCGGAGTTAGGAATCGGGCTGGGCAGTGTGGGGGTGGGCGAGGAGAGGAGTTTCCGGTATGTAAAGGGATTCCGGGGCAGCACGCCGGACCGCCTCCGCCGCCGGCGCGGCGGAGCTGGCTGGGGGCCGGCAAGGATCGTGGCGCGCGGAGAAGAAACACGACGCGGAGATTGACCGGCGAGGAGGAGGAGGAGGAATAATACGAGGAGGGTAACAGGGATTACCGGAGAGGACGACCGCGTCGGCGGCGGCGGCGGCCGGGCGGTGGTGGTCGTCGGGGTTCGATGTGCGCGTCGAACCGGGGAGGGGGGAGGAGGAAGGAGGACGGAAGGGATAAGAATCGAGATGCATTGTATTTTTAGATGGGTCGCACCCGTTAGGAAACCGGTGAGCCTTCACCTTGGGCCCCACTTTTTACAGCCCGTGGGCCGTGGCGCGTCTTCTCCAACGTGACAAAGGACCATGGGCTTTAATAACGGGCCGTCTTTTATGGGCCACCTATTCCAATTGCCAAAGATGGCCTAAATGCAAACAGATGAACAATGAAAATGAGATGGAGCGATGGATGTACCAGGGTTCCAAAAACGAATACCACGCCCGAGTGGTCGTTAACGATGAAAACTGGTAAGATTTGGATGCATTTTGCCGGAAATTTGAATTTCAGTTTAAACTCTTTCGAAACCTGTGAGTTTACAAGGTGGTTTCTGGATTTACCATGGCATTTTTAAACCCGATGGAGACCCTGTGCGAACTGACAGTAATAGGGCTGGAACCGGACATAGCAATGGCAACACGCGTCTCATGAAACCAGAAGAGCAAGAGCAATCGATGGCTTTGCAATTTTTCTTTTCCTCTGCACATGGTGCTCTCGTCTCATCGAGACAAGGGGAGAATTTCGTCGCCGTGATCAACTTGCATGAATTTTCGCTGACAAAAAAAATGCCGTGAGCGTACAAAAATCCCCCTCCTATTTTCGCCCTGCACGGAACGGGTTGCCCTCTCCCGCGCGCGCGCGGCTCTTCCGCCGCGCCGCGCGCTGCAACGGAGCTCACCTCATGTGCGCGTCCGATCCTCGCATCGCGTACGCACGCACGGCACACATGAAGTCGGCAAAGTTCAACGTCGATGGCTACGTCGCGCGCAGCAAACACCTGCGACGACGTTTCTACTTCTAGATGCCCATATCCACTAGTTCGTCCTGCCTACGAAATATATCCAGTAGGAGTGAACCAACGGCACGCACATGAGCAATTTAGTCCACACAAGTGGACGCGGTTCGGTTCGGCCACCATCCAACCGGAACGTGCAGATGCCGGCGTACGTACGTGGACGTCAACGCATTTGAACCGGTCCTCGTTTGAACAATCTCGCGCCCAAAGTCAGACCATGCATTTGCCGGTCGTTATCGATTGTCCTCAACTCCTCATCCATGCATCGCCTGTCAGCTCTATAAAGCCACACGAGCCACCGGAAGCTTGACATCACAATTAAAGTCACAGCATAGTAACCAACCGAACCAATCATCAGCCATGGCGCGAAGGCTCTCGCTGCTGGCCGTCGTGCTGGCGATGGTGGCGGCCGTGTCGGCGAGCACGGCGGCGGCGCAGAGCTGCGGGTGCGCGTCGGACCAGTGCTGCAGCAAGTGGGGGTTCTGCGGCACCGGCAGCGACTACTGCGGCACGGGGTGCCAGGCGGGCCCCTGCGACGTGCCGGCCACCAACGACGTGTCCGTGGCGAGCATCGTCACGCCGGAGTTCTTCGCGGCGCTCGTCGCCCAGGCCGACGACGGCTGCGCCGCCAAGGGCTTCTACACCCGCGACGCCTTCCTCACCGCCGCCGGTGGCTACCCTTCCTTCGGCCGCACCGGCTCCGTCGACGACTCCAAGCGCGAGATCGCCGCCTTCTTCGCCCACGCCAACCACGAGACCATAAGTAAGCAGAAACACCAAAAAAAAAACATACAGTATAATACTACCAGTAGAGACCACGGTATACCTAACATGACGATAACGTTGTTGCAGAGTTCTGCTACATCGAGGAGATCGACGGACCGAGCAAGAACTACTGCGACGAGACGAGCACGCAGTGGCCGTGCATGGCGGGGAAGGGGTACTACGGGCGCGGGCCGCTGCAGATCTCGTGGAACTTCAACTACGGGCCGGCGGGGCAGAGCATCGGGTTCGACGGGCTGGGCGACCCGGACGCGGTGGCGAGGAGCCCCGTGCTGGCGTTCCAGACGGCGCTCTGGTACTGGACCAACAACGTGCACGACGCCTTCGTCTCCGGCCAGGGGTTCGGCGCCACCATCCGCGCCATCAACGGCGCGCTCGAGTGCGACGGCAAGAACCCCACCGCCGTCAGCAACCGCGTCGCCTACTACCAGCAGTTCTGCCAGCAGTTCGGCGTCGACCCCGGCAGCAACCTCACCTGCTAATTACAGGGATTGACATATGCTATGTATGTGATTTTGTACGAATAATAATTGTCATAAGTAATCAAATAAAATCGTATTGCATTACGTCAACGTTGTTTGCGGCATAGGAGTATATATATTTCCGTGGACAGATTTTCTTTGTCGTCTCAGTCAAATTTTGTGGCTCCTGAATATTTTCACGTGACTTGTTTGTTTGTTTGTTGTGTTTTTGGATATTTCTCCGCCATGCAAGATCTTTTCGTTGGGGAAGCTGTCTTAATCTGTTTGAACCGAGTCACCGAGAGTGTGCAGCAAGTATACGATGGAAAGTAAGTATGACTAGTAAGAAGCTTAAGTCGTGTACAATAAATACTTGAGATACTTTTGTGTCATATATATGTTTAACTATTTACGATGGCCATCACCCATATTTGCAATTTTTGAGAGTATTCTAGTATGTTAATAAGCTCAATATATAGTATGTTAACTATGCACGAACTGCATCGCAAGAATAAAAGTGGAGTAATTTTTAAGATTAACTTTAAAAAAGCTTATGATAAGGTTAAATGGCCTTTTGTTCAACAGACTTAACTTTAAAAAAGCTTATGATAAGGTTAAATGGCCTTTTGTTCAACAGACTTTGAGGATGAAAGGTTTACTCCTAAATGGTGTCAGTGGATAGCTTCTTTTATACAGGGGGGTCATGTGGGTATTAAAGTTAATGATCAAATTGGTAATAACTTTCAAACTTTAAAAGGTCTTAGGCAAGGGGATCCTTTATCTCCAATTCTCTTTAATTTAGTAGTTGATATGCTTGCATTGCTAATTAAGAGAGCTAAAGATGCTAGTTTTATAAATGGGGTGATTCCTTATTTAGTGGATGATGGTTTATCTATTTTGCAATATACGGATGATACTATCATTTTTCTGGAGCATGATTTACAGCAAGCAAAGAATCTGAAACTGATTTTATCTGTGTTTGAAAAGCTATCTGGCTTGAAAATAAATTTTCACAAAAGTGAATTATTTTGTTTTGGTCAAGCAAAGAATTATTATGATCAATACTCTAGTATCTTTGGTTGTAAGCTGGGTGCTTTTCCTGTAAAATATCTTGGTATTCCTATACATTTTAGAAAGCTTAGTAACAAAGACTGGAAAGTTATTGAAGAAAGAATTGAGAAAAAACTTAGTAGTTAAAAAAGTAAGCATATGTCTGTTAGGGGTAGATTAGTGTTAATTAATTATGTACTTTCAAGTTTAGCTATGTTTATGATTTCTTTTTTTAGGTTCCCAAAGGGGTTCTTCAGAAAATAGATTATTATAAATTACGCTTCTTTTGACAAGGGGATGATCATAAGAAAAAGTACAGACTTACTAGATGGGATATTATTTGCCAACCCAAAGATCAAGGCGGCTTGGGGGTTCATAACCTGGAAATTCAAAACAAATGCTTGTTGAGTAAATGGTTATTTAAGTTAATAAATGAAGAAGGGGTTTGGCAAGACTTGTTGAAGAGAAAATATCTTTATAATAAGTCTATAACCCAAGTTGTTAGGAAAGAAGGTGATTCCCATTTTTGATCCGGTCTAATGAAAGTTAAGGATACTTTCTTGAATATGAGTTTTTGGATTCATGAATAATAGGGAACAAATAAGATTTTGGGAAGATAAATGGTTAGGTAACTTGCCTTTTAAAGATAAGTATCCTTCCTTGTATACCATTATCCAAAGGAAATGTTCTTCAATTGCTAGTGTTATGAGTTCTGTTCCTCTTAATGTGTCTTTTAGGAGAGCATTAGTGGGTCAGAATCTTGTTTCTTGGCATGATTTGTGTGCTTCTATTGTTCATATCCAATTGAATCACTCATCTAATTGTTTTAAATAGAACTTTAATCAGAATGGTATGTTCACGGTAAGGTCAATGTATCTTGCTTTAATTAATAATAGCTATATTGAGAGAAACAAGATAATTTGGAAGCTCAAGATGCCGCTTAAAATTAAGATCTTTATGTGGTATTTGCTTAAAGGTGTCGTGTTAACTAAAGACAATCTAGCAAGACGGAATTGGAATGGTAGTTTGAGATGTTGTTTCTGCATGAAAAATGAATCTATCCAACATCTTTTTATAGATTGTCATTATGCAAAGTTTTTATGGAGAGCAGTCCAATTCTCTTTTCTTTATACCTTCCTAGTAGTATAACCCACATTTTTTATGGTTGGCTTTTGGGGTAGACAAGAAAAGGAGTAAGCTTGTACTTGTAGGAGCTTCTGCAATATGTTGGGCTCTGTGGTTGAGCAGGAATGATTTGGTTTTTGATAAATCACCATCCATTTCTTATAGGCAGGTAATTTTCAGGGCAACATATTGGCTCTGATACTGGGCGCAACTACAAAAGTTTGAAGAAGACAGAGAGTTTATAAAATTTACATGTTGCAAGCTTGAGACGACAATTATGCAACTTTTTGTCAATTATAGTTGGAGATTCACAAATAGACTTCAATAATGTGTTCTCCTTATTTTAGTTTCGTTACTTATTTTGTTCATGGGGTGTTCTCAATGATTTGTTGAACTACACTCTTGTTTGAGTGCTAATATGCAATAATTGGCTGTAGTTCTCTTGAGCAAAGACCGGGATGTTATATTCCATTATCTAAAGAAAAATTCGTATATCATTCCTACAATTATAAGGCTATAATCTACAATTTCTCTATATGTATTTTGTTAGTTGTGGGGTGTTTGGTTGCATCCACGAAGCCTGACTCACATTAGGCCATATAAAATAGTCATGCACTAGCCCGCGAGCTAGGACGAGACGATGCAAAAGTGTCCTCCCAGCTACGCTGAGCATAAAGGTAGGAGTCGAGTATTAGAGTGCGCAGCCCGGCCCACATATTATGGGCCACCCATGTCACATTGGGTCTACTCCACCACAGGTCTATCGGAGTCACAACTTTAGGTCTTAGGCTTACACAACACAAAGTCTTTCGGGTTGTGTAGGCCCATGACCTAAAGTTGTGACTCCGGTTAGACCTGTGGTGGAGCAGGTCCAATATGACATCGGTGGCCCACAATAGATGGGCTAGGCAACGCACTCTAACATCGAGCTTCACAACTCATCTTGCCCCGCTTGATGCAGCGCGCTACATCCGCGCGTGCATCAGGTGCATGAGACGCTCGATGAGATCACCACCCCGCCCTTTCCCCCTTCCTCGTCCCTGGACAGAGAGCGAAGCCAGAGGTGATGGCTTGGCGATGAGCTCGACGGAAGGAACGATGATGGGCACGGCAGAGGGCACCTTTCTATCCATGGCCGTCTCGCACCTTCTTCCGCCGCCATCCCCAACATGACGGTGATTTAGTTATACAGTGAAAACCATACCATGCTAGTTTTACCTTTTCTACAATAGGAATGGACAATTTTTCAGTGATATATATTCGATGTTGTAGTATTGTAAAAGCTGATGTGTTTCCTTACCATTGTATTAAGATATGTCACATTCACTTAAAATCTCTTATATTTTGGGACGGAGGGAGTAATTCACTATCATGTTCAATCGAGCTAGAACTAGAGTTATTATCAGAGGAAAGAATTTGTAAAAAAAAAAAAAAAATTGGCCCAATAACTCGAGCCCAGAAAATTCAGCGCATTCAAATGGGCCATGGAAGAGGGAATGTCGAAATGGCCCAACTCGAATTCAGAATAGAGCGCCGGTCGCTGCTCGAAATGAACACTGAGCCAAGGCTATTTTATTTGAACTTGCGTTCACCGGCCGGTTAACTTTGCTTTCCTACTGTTAATTTGTGCTATTATGGCAGCTTATCTACATGCATGTCTAATGTCAACTTTGAAAGTGCAACAAGCATTTCGTGAGCAGGAATCTCCTGCTCCTCAACATACGGCCCCAACCAAACAACAACCCCAAGTTATCTGCTAGTTGTCGGTTGTCGCGTTAACTTCGGCTAGCTTTTGCCGGTGAATTCCTGCCAAGAAGAAATAGGTGCCAAATTTAAAGGTCGACCCTATATAGCAATAGCATAAAGTTACTACTACTAAAACGTGTTAATAAGTTTTTCTTTTTTCTAAAAAAAAATACGTACTTCCTCCGTTTCACAATGTAATTCATTCTAGTATTTTTCACATTAATATTGATACTAATGAATCTAGATAGATATATATGTCTAGATTCATTGGCATCAATATAAATGTGTGAAATGCTAAAATGACTTACATTATAAAACGGAGGAAGTACTATATATATGTCGAGTGAAACGAAATATAATGCATGTTAAAAACAGAACAAAGATGGATCTGGCATCACAATTACTCCAATAGGCAAGGTAACCTTAAGCTTCTCACATTGTTCCAGCAGAAAAAAGCAGCTGGATCACTACAAAAAGGAAGAGAAGCAATTGAAACCGAAGAAAAAAAAAGAAAAAAAAAAGGAAAAACGACAGAACCCGATCAGGACGACAGGACAGCTTCTTCCAAATGCACGAAACCATGGGGAAAAAACCTCTTCGTGCAAAGGGAGCTCTCTTATCTTCGCCCCTTGCACGTACATACATACGCATGCACGCACGTCTCATCTCCAGCTTAATTAGCTAGTGACCGGGGCCTTTCTGGCTCGGCCCGGCCGGGAGCTGCGCCGTCCACGCCATGACCGTCGTCGTCGACCTCGCCGGCGACCTCTCACGCAGCGTGGCGTACGCCGCCGCGTCCTGGCTCTGGACTAACGCCGGCGCCGCCCGGCGGCCACCGTCGTCAGCTGCTGGCCGCAGCTGCCTCGCGGCGTCGACGGTGGCGGCGCACTGCAGCGCCGCCACGGCGAACAGCAAGCAGAGGAAGACGAAGACGGACGCCGACGTCGTCGTCGTCCGTGCTGCCGCCGACTCCATAGCTCTGCATGCACCAAAGCAATGCAACTAATTAACTGTTCCGGCTACTATAGCGCCGAACGCTACTTTGGCCTTGCAGTTACACACAAGGTCACACTGTCACTATCACAGATATATGAACTACTCCGGTATTGATTTTGTTTGATTGCGGAGTGGAGTAGACCATTAATTTAGATCTGTTATAAAAACTCGAGTGTTTTGTCGGCATACAACGGTTCTGTGATCCGTGAGTTCGCCCGTATTAATTGTAGCGCGAAAACAAAACCGGGGGAGGATGCCAACTCCCCTCATCTTTTCACGAGAGCAAAGTCTGAGGCACATGCATGGCGATCGAGTACATGAAACCAAGGCTACAGATTTCGTGCCTATTAAAATGCACACTGCCGTTTCAACCAAACTAAACGAGCTAGAGTAGTAGCTACAGCGAGTGTGTCTGGGTTGTCTGCGTGTCCAGTTGCAGGGCTCGCTGTAGATTCGGAGCACATATAGTAGCTGCAGTACGGTTGGACACTGTAGAGGTCGTCGGCGGCGACGGCGCCGGGATCGAAGGAAATCACGCGACCGCGCGGTCGTCGTCGTCGTTGCACCTAGCTGCATATGCTTGCACTGTTTGCACAGTACGTACGTACACTTGCAGCGCAGTAGTTGCATCCGCGCGGCGCCACGGAGTTGGCCGAGCGCGAACACGGGCAAGCTAGGCGGCGTAGTGTACGAGCGGTTCGTCGTCGTCGCGGCTCGGAGGACGGGGGATTTTGTTAGTTTACGGCGCCCGACGACGGGACTAGCTAGGGGCCTAGGGAGGTGTGGCTTTTCTCCGGCCGGAGCAGAGCACGAGGAGGACGCAGATTACGCATTTCGTGCCGCGATACAATACCGGAATTAACTAACCCGTACACGCGCATGGCGCATATGGGCCATTTTCACGTGGGGGCCCGGTTTGCCGTTGACCACCTTGCGCCCGTGCACATGGCCCCGCATAGGTGGTGGTCTATTAGTTTGATTGTTTTTTAGGTTCTCAAAACGCCGCATGAGCTAGCACCGTATTATTTTATACGCCTGTACTCTGCTCGTCGTTACTGTTAACGGGTTTCGTTTTGGAACACGAACAGTCAAACTAAAAGAAAGACAAACAAATGAGTCTTCAAGAATTGAAAAATAAATTAAAAACGGAGTTTGGACCATGGATGGATGACAATGTCGAGGATGGCCAAATTAATAGATCTGCCATCTACTATCTCCGGTTTCATTTTAATGACGCTTTGGACAATGACATACTCTACAAGATATACCTTTGACCTTATTTTTCTATTATAATATATACAATAAATAAATGCATGTTTATTTTTATTATAGTGTTTTGAAAGAAAAATCTATATATGTTTTTCTAGTTTCTTTAAACTAAATATATTCAAAGTTAATGATGGTCAAAGTTATAAAAGTTTAATCTCAACCTTGTTCAAAACATTAATTAATATAGCACCAGAGGTCATAAAAATTAGTGCGGTCCATTTTCTTGAAAAATGCAGGGCCTCTTAAATACGGTTGATCAGCTGTTTAGAAATATAATATCGTATGATACCGTCTTTGCATTTAAAATATGTAACATATAGAAGTAGGAAATTACTATGCATATGACCCAACCATATAACTTACGTATGATTAAATTTGATCAACGGTTTCCTTTAGTTAATCTATGGCTGCATGTTAGAGTCGTACGTCTAGCAGAAGTAATAGCGAAGCTTCAGACGCTTATGACAAACTAGGACTGATTAAGTTACGGCTAAGTCGTAGAAATACGAACAAGAAAAAAAATAGTTTATGATAAAAAAATATCTTACGGTGTTATTATTAGAGCAGGTATAATAATAGGCTTTTAGCCAGCTATAAACATATTTTAATGAGATAAACGATAAGAGAGAAGAGCAGCAGGCTACAGATTTGTAACCAGCTGTAGCACAGACTCCAATACACAATATGTGTATGACAGGTGATACCATATGTTAATATTATAGTAAACAACTATTGTATGAATTGACTATTAGATTGGCTATAGATAAATTGGAGCTAGTAGTGGACTATATTATTAAACTTGCTCTTAGCGACTTAGAAAACAAAATATGATAAAAAGAAAACTGCTCAACGCTAATCTTTAAAAGTTAAAATTTGGCTAGGACGGGCCTGCCGACGAGAGTTGAAAACGAAAGCGTAAGAGTAAGACCAGGATTATATATCCAAGTGGAAACGTTCGGCAAGTTAACGGTGAGCTCCGTTTCCGCGTCCGGCTGGCGGTGCGAGGGCAGCCGAGAAGAGAAGGTACGGTCACAGGGCCACTCACGCACATGGCTGATCATCTCCACTCACATCCCTCTTTGTGATGGTACGCCGCATGCCAACTTGCCAAGCTGCTCAAGCAGTCCAACTTTGACCTGCAGCCATCCGCACCGATCTGCCTCAGATTTGCAACGCGTGCAGTATAAGTTCATTTTAGGTCCAGCCACTGAGTCTGAAATTCATCTCTGGACCAAAATAATAACATATATAACACATCTTTTAACTTTAAAACCAATATAAACTTGATCCCAAAATAGCTTGGATGACGGTTTTCGACTGACGTGGTGTTTATGTGGTACACTTGTACTTACAATCATAAGAAATGGTGAGACCCACATATCAATAGGGGTGTAAGTGGCTAACCCGCGAAACCTATTTATAGGTTAAAATAAGCCGCGAACTCGCTTATTTTGACCTATAAGTGGGTTTACGGCTGACCCACTTACACCCCTACATATCAATGAGTATCCGGTTAAAATAAAATAAAAAATTTACAATGGAACTTACCGTCAAATTAAAGGATCTAAAGTGAACTTATTCCTAATGCGTGGCCACGCGTGTTGGGCCAGTCGGATTATTCCCACCCCCACATTAACACATAACATACACCCCTTACACAGTTACACTTGTCATTTTGCAGTTGCATTGACAAAATCAAGCGGATAATGAGCTAACAAGCATTGCGAGAACGATATGCGGGCATATTATAGGGTGACCAAAGCCTGTCCGTCCGTATTCTAACTTGTGAAGTTGTGATTCTGTGACTATATACAGTTTACAGCATGCAGTTATAAAGCGTGTGTTCTTGGCCGTGAACCTTCTGATCATGTTAGACGCTGAACTGCTGCTGCTGCTGCTGCTGCTATCAGCATTCTGGCAAACCTGTCAGCATGATTGCAGACGCTCATGTTATGCGAAAAATGTTCTGTTACCACTTACCAAGAACGAACAGATTGGTCCAAGTGTAATATCTAATTTGTGAGGGTTCTGTATATAGATCTTCAGGATGTTACAATTCTTCTATTTGTTGGTGCGTACCACTGTATCATATTTGTTCACCCCACGGCTCTAGTGTCACAGACCGATCGCGCTTCTCTGACTTTACATATTTGTTCACCCCACGGCTCCAGTGTCACAGACCGATCGCGCTTCTCTGACGTAAAGTCAGAGGGACGTATGTTACTGATGGGTGGACCCAACCTTTATGGGTCCCACATGTCAGTGATAAAGTCTCTTTGAAGTAAGACTCATCTGTCACGGACAGCTTGTACATCTGAATCATGGTTTCAGAGGTAGAAATGTAAAGCTACAAATTGCATTCAACGTCCTAATTTGGTATTTAAGAATTTTCATGGATTTTAATGTTTAATTCTACGATTCAATCTGGAATGCAAGAATTAGCTAGTCAGAGGGAATATGCCTCCTATGAGTTAAACGTATCCTCAAGTGTCCACAGTGGCTAAATATATCAGGAAATCAGGCTATGTGAAAATTCCCATCCCTTCTTTACCGGATGTATCATGTACCACCCCGATTCACCGAATGAACAAATGGGTTTCAAGAGGAGAGGATATCTTCAAATTTAAATTTGGATGATCTGAGACATACCACAACTCTTTAACACAATTTTGGTTGTACATGATCAGCATCAACTAGAATCCTAACTTCACGTAGCTATTACATCAGTTCCATGTTCATTGGTGGTAGTGCAAATGGATATACTCAGGAAATAAGCATCTTTCCCACATGAACCTCTGAATTGAAACACCAAACGATCCGGTTCATGCTAAAACCCTCGACCATGTGTCTAGCGTCGATGCCGACGGTCGTCACGCCTGCAGTGACAGAAAATCAAAGTCAGATGCACTTCACCAGAACTCTGAGCAGTGCTAAGTAAGAAGAGTTTTTGTTCTATAAATAACAAAAAAAAAGACATACGAAAATTACACATTTGCTGGGTACCTTGACTAGAAAATTTAATTAATTCATATAATACATAATGCACAGAATGGAAGTTAGTATTGAACTCTACACAAATATATACATCCCAATATTTTCCTGAAGAACATATAACACTTTGATCTCTGAAGAACATATTTCTATATTTTTCCTGAGAAATTTTGAATTATCATAATGAACCTGGTGCCTTCAGTTGACTTACTTTGTTTTAGCGCGGTAGTAAAATATAACAGAAATTAATTTTGCATAATTCCAACTTTATCTGATAAGCAAATTAAGTAAATGTAAGCATACCCGTATCGATCATAGTCTCTGGAACGGTCCCTAGGGGAGCGTGACCTTCGGTAGCCCCTTGAATCATAACTATGGGATCTCCCTGATTCTCTGTCCTTGTCCGACCTACTTTCTCTGTCATGGTATCGATCATGGCTTCTCCTGCGGTCATAATCCCTGTCCCTATCACGGCTGCTGCCTCGATCTCCTCTATGGCGATCCTTGCTAGATGCTCTGTCACGTTCCAGGCTCCTGTCCCTGGACCTAGTTATATTAGAGAAAATTGGAACGTTTTTAGTGCCACACATATGAAAGAATTTTGTTTTGCTATTAATCTTAGTTTTCTTAAGAATTCTAAAATATAGAGTACCTTCTCTCATGCTCAGCTCGGTCTATCTTGCGCCTTTTGTTTTTCTCTTCCTGTACACATTTTAAGCATTAAAAAAAAAACCACATCTTCATCTCCAATAAAAAGCACATTCAGGAACAAACAAAAAAGGTTAATTATACATATCCATGTTAGCCAAAACCTCGTAAAAGACAACCAATTCTCCAGGCAAATCTTGTTTGTAGTGCAAGTTAACTTCTCTGCTAATTTCTTATCTACTTAGTAGCTTAGTCAGTTGATCAGTTATCATGCCCTCTCTATTCTCTCTCTTTGTGACTTGACGTTTGAACCTTTGGATCCTCTGAACTATATTTTAGACTTATTTTATTATTAATATCTGTTTTCCAGTAGGACAATCCTACTGTTCCCATAAAAAGGCCCTTGTCTAACATGCAACCCCACCGGACTTAGCTCCATTCAAAATAGCACAATTTCGAAAAACCTCACCTGCAGTTCGGATAACTTCTCACGTATCAGCATATAACCCATATGAAGTTTCCCTCCAAAATGATCTGCCAAACGCCGGTCACTGTTTGGAAGAAAATTGTAAGCTAAGATATTAATTGTAAACAACACGCATGCTATTATGTAAAAGATTGTGATAATTTATTAGAATTCTTAACAAGATATCTATAATCCACAAGGATAAACATGTATAAAATAAACACGCACATTCTTTAGCTGCAAAAGTAATCCTCGAAAAAGTGGACCCAAAAGCCTGCTGGTGAAAAGGAGTTACAGGTGTTCGTCAAAAGCTGAAGCACTTGAAACCCCAAAATTCTCGTACATTCATGACCCCCATGCAGAAATTGATGGTGAAGTTAAAAAGGATAAATTTACCTGTCATATACGCTCAAGAATGCTCCACATATGTCACACAGGCGCAACTTTTGATCAGTCTAAACAGAGATTGAAAAATAAAAATCATCAATATAAAAGCATCACAACAAAATGCATCCACAGTTCAACACAGTGATAATTTCTTGGAGTGAAAACAAAACAACTAAATATATCAATTTTTTATGTGCACTGCAATGAGCGATTCACCACACTTACAATCTGAACGTGAGTTGACATCTTTGCAGAGTCCGGAACAGGCTGTGGCCGAGCACCAAGCTGTTTAAACATGACAACAGAACACATAAGAGAGATATGGAACACTATTCCTTTGATAACGACCATAGAGGATTTATTCCTAAATTTCTAATCAGTTGCACCAACAAAATTAAAAGCCAAGGTCGATCACCTTCTTTAGAGCTTCTGCTTCATCCAAAAGTTTCTGAGCTTCATCGATCATTCCATTCTCACCTGTTCAATATGGAAGCTAGAAATTAATGAATTTTTGTATATTAACGATGAACAGAAGACAATGAGCCATGTGCTTTGGTAGTTCAAGGAAGGAATATATAGGGAGCATGATTAAAAAAAATCAAACCTAGTTCTTCTGCCTTTTTGAGTTTTTCATCAATCATTTCTTGTGTGCGTGCATCTGGAGCAGCAGCAACAGGTGGTGGTGGAATTGATTGATTAGCAGTTTGGAGTGAAGTCATTAGTGAGACACGGTCCTTATTAAAAGCTTCAAGTAGATGCTTTGCCTGAAAGGGTATGAAAAGTTATACAAACACTAATATGCCTGTAATCTTCCGGTGGCAAACCATTGTATATAAAGCAATATGATGGCAATAAATTTAGTCATATAAAAATATGAAGTCCTCGCACTACACAAACTCCATTGTGGTACACATATTTCATGATCATTGATCACAGGGACAATACCTGCTCTTCAGCCCTCTGTTCCTTGAGCTTGTCAACCTCTTCAGTAGCCCGAATTTTGCCCTCAGTGTTTCCCTCAAGATCTAGAGGAAGAGACAGTTGATACAATCAAACTCAAGAGAACAAAAGGAGTTGTTTTATGTAGTGTACTCGGAAATTATTCACAACGGCAGGCAAAGTTAGAAAGATTGAGTAACAAAGAGTCAAAGATTTAAGAAACAAAATAGCGAGGGGGAAAAGCAAAAAATATTTGAGAAAGAATTGGTTAATTTTTCCTAAATCAATACTATCCCATTAGGCACAATAAAGAATAATTTGATAAATTATGAAAAAAAATATAAAGCATTCATTTTGATTACGGAGGTCAAATTTCCATACTTTTATCATGATTTCAGCAATTGTATGAATGTAAAACATTCTTAGGATCATTTTTAGTTTAGTTCCTTCGACTTCGCTTATTTAAAAAACTCCATTGATTAAACACAATTAGGCAGAAGCCAATTTGGTCCATGCAAAAAGCCAAACACATATTTTTCCGAATATCTTCTTTGTCTAGAGACATTTCCTTGTTGAATGAGATAAAGAGTTAAAGCGAATATGTCATGAACATGATGCATCATTCTCTCTAATTGAATAATTTTCAGGAGAAAATATTAATAAAGATATGGTCAATTCAAGTGGATAGGATGTGGCCATGATGGAATTTCAAACAAAACAAAGGTAAACATCAGATTTACCAAAAGCATCAATCTCCTTCATCTTCTCCTTGATTTGTTTGGAGAACTCAATCACTTCTTTACTCTGCATTTGTACATACATATTGCAACTTAGTTTATCTCCACAGTCGTGGGACCCAAGGAGAACTAACTATTATAAAGGAATATACCTGTGTGACTTCAGTGATGGAAATTGCTATAGCTGCCTTGGCATCGTCCTCCTCTAGACGTTTAAGGGCTCTCTGAATCTTCCTTTCACACTCCGATATTAGTCTTTCTATAGTTTCTTCCAATTCACGGTCATAATTGTCCATACCTTTGGCTTTCGCTTCTTCATATCTATTACTAAGTTCAGGAAACAAATAGAACAGAGCTCTTGCACTCAATAGCAAACATACAGTACAGACTAGCATGTGTCACAGGTTTACCAATAAGAACAGCCGAACAGGCCAAACACTTTCTATGGGTTCTGGTTTTGAGAATAACCATACTAAATCTAAACTTTTACCAATAATTCCTCAAGAATCTTCTATTTTTCTCAAGTTGACCTCGAATCATTTAATTTTGGCAAGAAAAGAAAAGGGTAACATGTGACTGAAGCCAAAAAGGAAAAATATTCACAGCTGGCATGATCTAACGCTTAAAAGAATGCCGGTTCTTGTCACCAGGCACTGGCAGGCACTAAAATAGAATTACATCACTAATATTATTCATAACGTAAATCTTTCAGAATGTAAACCTTATACACCAAATTGTTGTAGCATACTCAAGCATCACAACAGTTAATGTTAGCAATAAGTAAACACAATCAACTCCATAAATATAGATGCCACATGGCCCACATCTAAAAAAATTTAGAAGTACCAAAAGTTACTAAATATGCGTTGAAGGCCATCCTAGCCGAACAAATCGCAGACCAAACATCCCACACCATCGATAAAATGTCTAATTCGTCGCTCTCGCCTTAGAACCACCTCGGCTGAGCACTCCGCTTCTCCGATTCAAACTAAACCGTCAAGCAGGTTGCATGGCACAAATCTATTTCTATTCACACACAAAATCTAACTGAAACATACTAAACCCTAGTTACCCTACATGAATAATTTGAAGGGGATCTCCAAGGATACTCCTTGCGCAGCTGCAGCGAGTGCATCTTCGGGCATGGCCCCATGTCCATCTTCTGCAAAAAAACAAAACAACGCAGGCGCACATCAGCCACGCGATAACCGAATCCGATGGATGGAGTGGGGATATAGGAGGGGGCTCCGCCGCGAGGGGATCGAGAGTAGCACGGGGAACGCACGGTGAGCTGGAACAGGTCGTGGGGGCAGAGGCCGGCGAGGAAGAGGCGGCAGACGTCGCGGTCGTAGTACTTGCGGCTGACCTCCCGCACGTCGCCGTTGCGGTTGGCGCCCATGAGCTGGTCGAGCTGCTTCCGGATCGCGTCCATGGCGCACCGTCGCCCCCACGCCCCGTCGCCCCCGCCGGCGCTGCCCCTCCCCTTTGCTAGGGTTTTGCTTGGCTCGAGGCGGGGCTGGTTGGTTGGTTGGTTTGGTGGGCGGCGGTGCCGGAGGAAGAAGAAGAAGACGGCTAAGCACACCCCCACACACCGTGCCGTATCCATTTTCGCTCCACGGGCCGTCGGATCGACGATGCACGGTCCAGATGGGCTGGATGGGCTACAGAAGGACGGCCACGCGGCCCATGAGTCCATTGATGACCTGTTCTTTCCTTCCTCCTCTTCTCGTGGGCCTTCTTCTCTCTCCCCCTCCCCGTGGCGCTGACGCGACGCGCTCTCCTCCGGCGAGGTCTCTGACTCTCCAGCGCTGCGCGGCGCCGTATCGCCGGCCGCGAACTCGAGGCTGGGCTGGGCGGGCGTATCGTTCCTGCTCCCGGAGGTAACCACCCTCCCCTCCTCCGCATCCTCTCGACGGCGCGTAGCCTTCTGTCCGCCTCTCGTTTCCGGCGTCGCTTCGCTTACCAGTTGCTAGGATCCTCGAGGTGTGCGGCGGTGTTCCCGTTTCGTCCGATGCGCCGATTGAGTCTTCGATTGCTATTATCATAGGAGATGGATTGTTTCGTCCAGTTTTCAACTTCCGTTTTTTGGCTCCTTGCATCGTTGGTGTTGTGTTGTTATTTGGTACTCGCTACTCCGTATCCCAGTGTCTCCACATTTTCGTTGGCGTTGTGCAAAGCAATCATGTCAAATGTGTGGGATGTGAAGTGCTAGATTGCCAAATATCTCATTCAGTTCTAGATTTTTCCAATGACCAATTCATATATTTGTATATTGGAGTAATTGGGTTTGATTGTGCTATAGCCTATTGCCTATAGTAGTTGGAATTGGTTTTGTTGTGCATGGACTGTATTGCTGGCAGTGGCATTATTGATCTCTAGATAGTTGATTCATATGAAACGCTTCTGACTAGGCGATGTGCAGCCCAATTGTGAGCCACGTCTAGAAGCCATTTAGGTGTTGTTTGAACAGTGACGCATCTTTGGAGAACCTTACCTGCATAAGTTTTAGGCTTCATTGCTTTGAAAATTTTATGTATGTTCTTTATAAGAATGCATGAGCATATACTAGACTAAGTACATAAATGGTTTGCTTCATTGGACCTTTTCAGAAGACTGTTATGATGATTTGAACTACTGCTTGGTATTACAATGGAGAACCTTGAATGCACAGTTGGGAAAGATGGCTTAAATTTTCAGTGCAACCTGTGTGATTCAGATGTAGTGCATTCCATGGCAGAAATCCTGCTTCGTGGATTGGCAACTGCCTCAGTTGACAGCACTACTGGTGATATCTTCAAGAGCCCATCTTCTGTAGCTGTTGGAATGAAGAGCGAGCTAGCAGAATATTTGATTCAGGGGTCCATGACGCTTGTTCGTGAGGCTGTCGACGGAGGCGAGGATCACTCAGAACAATTAATAAAAGCATCCACCATGCCGACGGAGTTCCTCTCAGACTTGATCGATGGTTTTGTAGCATCAAAACGGAACTTGTTGAGCCATGTGTCTGGGTTTTTGTCTAGCGAAACCCGCTTGAACAAAATTAAAGACTTCATACAGAAGCTGGAGATGGAGAACTTCTGGGCACCAGATGTTAGAGAGGCTACTGCAGGGACTATTCTTAAGAGTATAGACATGAAATGCATTATCCATTGCCCTGAGAGATTTGACACACAAGATAAGCTGGCTGAACACAGGAATCTGTGTAGATTTAGGATAGTAAACTGCAAAAATGATGGATGTTTAGCTTCCTTTTCTGCTAATCACATTGAGAAGCATGACTCTGTCTGCCCATTCAAAGTCCTACCATGTGAGCAGTTGTGCGAGCAGCATGTTATGCGGTGTGAGATGGACAGGCATTGTGCATCAGTTTGCCCTATGAAGCTTATTAACTGCCCTTTTTACCAGGTTGGCTGTGAATCAGCCTTTCCGCAGTGTGTTCTTGATAAGCATTGTTCAGAGCGCCTTCAAATCCATCTGATGTATATTCTTGAACTAACTACAAGACATGATGCTTTTGTTAATGATATGAATCAACGATTACACCTCCTTGAGAAGGTTAGTATTATTTGTACTGTACCCTTTGAAGCCATATTTGAACTATGCTTATAGCTTACCCTCCTTTCCTATTTAGCTTGATATCTGCTCAGTGTAAGATTAGAGAATAAAGGATTAACAATTATTCAAGTATTCAACTCAACAGCTAGAAGCAGTATGTAATTGTAGAACTAATGAAATAATACCCATGGTTTATCGGAAGGCAACCCAGGACAATCGAAGTATGGAATACCTTTTTTCACTCGTTTTGTTGGAGGACTGCATTGAATTTCATTGACTTGAGACAGAGAATGAGTACAGTTGGGCTAGAGCACACGCAATTTTTTTCGTCTGAAAAACAAGCAACTGGTTGTCTGTACTCAGATTAATTTCCTGAGCTTATGGCTCTGACAATTCTAGATATCGCAAGCAGTGGGTATATTTTTGTTTACACCAAGTTGTAATTTTTGAATCCCGCTGGGGCTTGTTACCCATAATTATTAAGGGAAATATGCATGTATTTCTGATGAATCAGTTCCCAAATAGGATATCTGGATTAATTACTATTTTCAATCTTATTACAGGCCCAGTCACTGAATGAACTCTCTGGGGCTTTAGATAACAGAACCCTCACTCTAACAGCAAAGGAGCAAGAAGCAAAGATCAAGAAACTCGAACAGGATCTCAAAGTGCAAGAGACAAAGCTGAAGAAACTTGAAAGCGAGTTTAAGTCAGGGAAAGTGTGAATACATCCTTCGGCCATCCCGGCTAAAAAGAAGTGTGAATGCGTGATGTTGTGATTATAGTGTTACTGTAAAAAACCAGGGCGTCATACTTTAGTAGCTGTAAATAATAATTAGCACCTCCTTACAGTTTACCATACTTCTGTGTGTTGTTCATGTACGATAAGAAAATAAGGTTTAGAAAAGTCAGCTTCTCTTGAATTCTTTTGTTAGTTTGAAGTAACAGTGTTTGATCTTTTCTGTATCATGCAGTAAGTACATATATATTGTGGAGATGAAGTTCATTTGGATCATCTGCCATCTTCTTCAATGTGCTGGAAGTATCTGTCGGTGGGAACTACACATGGGTTTACAACTACAGTTTTTCATGTTAAAGATATTGCCTCAATTTCATGACTGGCTTGGTTGTTTGACTCTTCTTTTAGGACATAGTCACAGGCAGCTTCCAAAATCTTGCAAACCTCTCTCCTGTACTGCAACATATCATGTCAAGAAGAAACCATTAAATCCTGTTTTTGGAGGGGAAACAAAATCTTTAAAGTGTCTCTGTTACCATATGGTTGCATAATTAGAGGGCTTTGTGGTACAGAGTGCCCTAGAATCAATTGTTATCACCCATTTGTCTTGCATCTAATTTTTCAGTGGTGGTGACTGCTTTTCCACGGCATTAAGATCAAGGAGTTCTTAAGTCTGGGAACTTTGGTGACTGGTGAAATCATTTTACGAAGTGACACAGGAGGTTAGAATTCTGAACTATTGTTCATCCCTTTTTTTATGCCATAGAGTTGTGAAATTTGAAGTAGAATAATGTGTTCCTAGTCTCATATTCATTTTAGGCCACCTTAAGATAGTATTAGCATACCTCATCAGTTGCTCCAGACTTTATTTTGGATTGCAAAATGCACCATTTCTTCATGTTTACTCCTATAATGTGCATAAGCATAATGTAATATTTAACAGAAACATCTTTTGCTAGCAAAAGTTTAGCTTAATACAATGTATAGCCAACTTACCAATCTTTATATCAACTTGACATGTTGAACTGGAGGTTGTTCTTAGATGCCACCTGCAGTGGATCTATGACCAAGGTATCAATGGCAATTCCTCTCTCAGGAAAAATAATTACATCTTACTGGGAAGAGTGAATATTTTGTGGTTTTATACAGAGAAAGAAATGGTTAAAGACGGGCCACTTGGTCTCCTCTTCATTAGCATTAGTATCTATTGTGCAAAATGAGTACTTTACTATATTAACTTCTTAGACAATAGAAAAGATTGCTGAAAAGACATAGAAACGGAGAAGCAAGTAACAAGTTCTCACAAAATTACTACTTTCCTGACCAAACAATCTTTCTAATATTTCAAATTTTCTATTTCTATTTGTTCGTGTTGTCAATAATGGTGGCAAATACCTCAAAGTAAGAACCAAATGGAACATCATGTGCCTGATGCTTTGTCTCATAGATCTGAAATGAGATAGTAAGTCATAATTTCATTAAAGAAGAAAAATCAAGAAAACCTGATTCACAGTGGACCTATCTGTTACTAATTTAATCTTACCAGATTTGTTTTGTTCTTTGAGAAAGAAGCACGTTGCCATTCTGTCACTGCAGTATCTGGGGGACATAAAGGACTGTGGCATAGAGACCTGAACATCACTTCGCGGATCTTGCCGCCATACTCATCTGAGGGGTACCACTTGCTAAGCTAGAGAATGAAAAATCAAAACACTATAAATTAAAAAAATGTTGGTTATGCTACCAGTCACTAGATTAACACATCCAAGGATTGACATAGCAAATAGAACATGCGATTGGTGCTACTGACAAAATAGGAACCTTTAAATCTGTATCTTTTCTTCCATGTCGATACTGCTGGAAAAACATTGAATTGTCACCTAATATGATACTGAAGAACTTCTCAGATGTGCCAGGGAAGGTTTTCTGATGGACAATGTCATGTTGAAAATTAGGGGGGAAAGGGATAACAAATTGTGCATTGAATATGTAGGAAAACAACTTGGGATGCTCACACTGGTTGCATCTACAAGAACATGTTCATTGATGAAAGGTTGGAATGCTTTTGCTTGTTCAATGCTTCTTTCTGCTGTCTTTAGGTCATCTATTTTGCTACAGATGACATCGCTGCTTCTTCTTTGTTGAAGTGAATGCATTCTGACCTGTTTGTAGGAAAGCATTACAGATGCTCAGATAATTTCTGCAAAATCAACAGAAAATATTCAAGCTAGAATAATTTCTGGATACCTGTTTTTCAGCTTCTAAGGTTGCCCTGTAACTCTGCAGAGCATTCTCCAGGGCCCGAAATGTGCGGTTTCTATTCCAGAATGATGTGAATTTGTACCTGATTCTTCCTGAGAAATCAAGCCAGGTATTTTCAACAGAAAATCTCTACATAGATTTCTAACATGAATAGTTAATCTAAATTGTATACTCCCTCCGTCCCAGAATATAAGAAGTTTTAGAGTTGGACACGGTTATTAAGAAAGTAGGTAGAAGTGAATAGTGGAGGGTTGTGATTGGATGAGTAGTGGAGGTAGGTGGGAAAAGTGAATGGTGGAGGGTTGTGATTGGTTAGGAAGAGAATGTTGATGGAGAAGTTGTTATATTTTGGGATAAATCCTGAGGGCTAAAAGTTGTTATATTTTGGGATAGAGGGAGTATCTATTAGGTTTATGATTTTCTTTGCTAGCGCAACTTTTACTGGTAAAAGCCACTTCTTTTAGAGTAACTCAACTTGAAAATGATACAGTTCAAGCTCTCTGGAGTTCAAACTTGCACAAATGTGGTAATTCGATTCTATGATATTAAACTACTTTTCCAATTTAGGCATTTTCTTGAATCCAACGTTTTAAAAATTATGAGATTGAGCCAATAAATTACCATTTTGACTGCATGAAGGGGGTGTTCCATGACCACCTGAACCGGTACGAAGAAAAATAGTAATTGCTGGGTTGATAAGGGAATGCTGACTTCTTTTTATCTGCGGGATAAAGTGATGTGGATGTCTACTATCTCAGCTGATAGAAAGCAAATACTAAGTCCACGGAAAGAGCTTCGTAGGTTGCATACCTCATCTATATCTTGTAATGGAATAATCACCTAAAAAATTGCAGGTCTTAGAAAGCGAACTGGAAGTTCTCAAAATAAAAGTAATAAGCTCAAGAAAATCATCTAAGGGATAATAAGTGTGTAAATTTACTTAACAATATTTCCATGCTGTTATTGATTTACCATGGAGATAACTAGAAAGGAGCATAAATAACAATGTTCAGCTTCAAGTAAAATAATTAAGCAATGCATGTTTCTTCAGATCCATGTACTTTACATTCAACTGTTTGGAGAATACATTGGAGTGGAAGCACAGATGCCATAAGGAGATGTACATACGCCCATGGTGCAGGAAAGACCTCTCCAGAGCACAAGAATAACTTTGGTGAACAATCTGGAAGTACAAGAGACAGATGGAATGTTTCAGCATAAGAAACATGAATCATCATGAGGAAGAGTCAATTCTGATGAGTATGAAATACTGTATAAGCAATTGTAATATCAGGAATTAATACTTCATCATGAGGAAGTTCAAATATAGCTTGTAGAAGGCCACTATCTTGAGTTATTGGCAGGTATTGCTTGCTTAGCATCATCGTTCTCTCGGACTCGATTCCAACACATTGGTCAAACAGACTGGAGAAAGAGGGGAAAAAGGAAAATAAGAAGATTGCTTATCATCAGGTATGCTGCTTCCCCCTCCCCCCCTCCCCCCCTCCCCCCCCCCCTCTTCCTGATTAAGATTACCTCTCAGAAGTCAGAAATACTTTAGCTGAGCTAAAACGCAGGCAGATCTGCAACCATATTTCGTTAATTGTAAATACATCCTTAAAAGTTCATTGAATATTTGAAGTACAGCAATAGTGGTAAGTTAGACAATATCACTTATTCATCAATTTTACACTTTACCTGACCAGATTTACTGTCCAGGTCGAACCAAGTAGCTCCTGCTTCGTCTTCACCGAGAACGGCTACAGTTACAGATCCAATAACTTTGCACTTGCACACTGTGTCCCAGTCGTACATTGTTATGGTTACCTATATACAGAAGAGTATATCAGGCAGGCAACCAAAGTTCGGCATCAAATGTTAAAAGGAGCTCATCTTTTGAACGGTTTCATTGTAAGTATCAGTCACAGCTGTTGGGTAAGAAATATTATGGGGGAATTGTATCTACTCAGATTTTTACTACTCCATCCGTCCCAAAATATAAGACGTTTTAGAGTTGGCCACGGTTATTAAGAAAGTAGGTAGAAGTGAATGGTGGAGGATTATGATTGGATGAGTACTGGAGGTAGGTGGGAAAAGTGAATGATGGAGGGTTGTGATTGGTTGAGAAGAGAATGTTTGGAGAAGTTGTTAAATTGTTATATTTTGGGATAAATTCTAAGGGCTAAAAGTTGTTATATTTTGGGACGGAGGGAGTACTTAATTTCCATCCTTTTATTTTAGATAATGGAAACTTTTATTGAACTCGGCCTTTCCATTCTTTTGTAGTACAATGTTTTTCTAGGCTAAACCTTACTTTTGAATCATTGACAGGAGCAGTGCAAAACTGCAAATGTCACATTAGAGAAGCTAGCTGATGCTGCACGTGCAAGGTAATGCAAAGCATATGCACCAGCAAGTATAATTTATTGTTCTGCTTGCTACTCATAATTTCTGCTACTCAGCTGGTCGCCAATTATGCTGTGTTATTTGGACCACCATTTTTCTGACGGGAAGAAATCTGCCACATGATTATGACAAAGCAAAGTGACTTTGAGAATTTTACCATGCGACTTTCTGCTACAATTCTGAAAGCTCAGCTGCAAGCCAGGCAGCCAGCAATATATACCGCTTGGCCGAAGGATCCAAATATCTAATCAGCAAGGATGAAAAGTAGTACTAGTACAATAGTGCAAAAGTATAGCTTTGTATCAGGGACCAAGGCTGGCATACACCCTGTGCCGTTTTTCACATAGCATTTGTCTAATCTGAATCCATCACACTCATACGTTTTTGCTTTTCTCGCACGCTTAAGATGAGAAAAACAGACTGGATTAAAGCTGGATTAACTATTTTATCTTTTTGGGGGCAACCTGAGACACTATGATTAGAGTTTCTTGGTGTATAATGGAATTGTAATGATGGACACTGCATCACCTTTTCACTTGTGACACAGAAACTTGGAATGCAATTGAGAAACATATCAGAAATTCGAATTCACAACATGGCAAACTGTTGGTACCTCAACTGGGAGCTCTCTAACCAGGAAGTTGAACTCCTCCCCCCACAACGGGTTTCTTGAGCTAGGCACCATGGAACTGCAAACGCATTAGGCCATGCTTGCTTTTTAGAATGATTTTTTAGCTCAGACATGATTATATTAGAACAAAATACTGTGTGAAGATGAGGCATAGCGCAGAGAAGTTGTAATGGCAGGTGACCTGAAGCGTCTCTGCTCGCCGCAGGAGATGACGGCGTAAGGATCGGAGCTCCCGTTCAAGTTGGCGCCGATGAGGTACTTGGCACAGAGCAGCTCCAGCTGATTGCAAAAACAGAAAAAGGCACACGGAAACAATTCAGACATGGAGTCAATTAACCTTGCAGATAATATAAGCAAGTACCTTGATCACATAGCTGGTTCTGCCCCGAGAGTGAGGGCTACCATCTGGAAGAGCAACCTGCAATGCAAACAAATTGTTCTGATAATTAAGAAGGAAGTGCAAATGTGCAATGCAAACAAATATAATGTGGCTCACCTTGCTGGTGCCTCCAAGTTCAGCGGCCGCTGGCTTCCCCTTCGCCCGCCGGCGCCGGCAGCCGCAGCCACCACAACCACCGTCTCGGCGGCAGCTCGCGGCTGCCGTAGTGGTAGGAGAGGGCGGCGGCGACGAGGAGGAAGCCGGGGACTTGGTGCTGGACTGGACCGCCTGGTCGAGGAAGAGGAGGAGCAGTGCCGCGACGAGCAGCGCGGCCGCGGAGACGGCGACCTCCGCCTCCCACAGCGACGGCAGGAGAAAACCCCGCATCCACGAGCTGAGCCCCGCAGCCTCCATGGCAAACTCCTCGAGGCAAAAACCAAAGCTCGGTTCGTGCGGGGCGCTGCACGCATTTAAAGCGAGCCAAAGCCCAAGCGTAGCGTGGTGCAACCGCGCGGTTGGTGATCACGCTACCACTGACTAGCTAGTGAGATTGCCAAAGGCGAGAGAGCGAGCGGAAGGACACGCTCGGCCCGGGGAGCCGAAAGGCACAAGGCTACAATGATTAGAGGGCAAAATTTTTGATATAGAGAATATGGCTGTATTTAGTTCACGCTAAAATTGGAAGTTTGGTTGAAATTGGAACGATGTGATGGAAAAGTTAAAAGTTTATGTGTAGAAAAGTTTTGATGTGATAGAAAAGTTGGAAGTTTGAAGAAAAAATTTGGAACTAAACTCGGCCTATGTAATAGTACGTGCTGGCATATGCATGCTCGGACGCACCCTTCCATAGTTGATAACTGATTGTTGTTACACGGACACTATTTGTCCTGTTCACTTTCAGCTTTGTAGGTGCCAGTATTTTGATTTTTAATGTTGTGTTATGTTGAGGGGTTAGAAACCCACACTGCTTAAGTATTAGCTAAAAAACTGAAAATGGATTGATATAATTTTTATATACTTTTTAATTAACAAAATATACTATTTAGTGGTTTGGGAAACATTTTTTTCTGAAATAAAAAGTAGAAGTTGGAAAAGGGGTAAAAGAACACATGCTAGCTACACCTCGCGATTCGGGGCGCAGTGTTGTGTGGAACTGTGGACTGGGCGTTGTTGTCGTATTTTGCTACAGTGCTGGCTTTTTGCCGCTCAGTACGTTACTCTGTTAAGTGCGTAGGTTGTTCTGGAATGGGCACTCTGCATGCTTTTCCCATGTAATAGTTGCATTGTTGCAAGCCTGCCACTACGATACTTCTACACCATTATTCTCTGTTCCTCAGCAAAGCAAATATTCGGTGTCAATGTTTGCATTTATGGACTAAACTTTAATCTTTGTCACATCAAATATTTAGATACTAATTTAGAGTATTAAACATAAACTACTTATAAAACTAGTTACGTAAATGAGAGCTAATTCGTGAGACAATTTTTTAAAGCCTAATTAATCCATAATTAGTACATGTTTACTCTAGCATCACATAGCCTAACCATGGATTAATTAGGCTTAATAGATTCGTCTCGCGAATTAGTCTAGAGTTATGGAATGAGTTTTATCATTAATCTATATTTAATACGTCTAATTAGTGTCAAACATCCGATGTGACAGGGACTAAAAATTTTAGCCCTATCCAAACAGACCTACATGTACTGTAGTGATTGGACAGGAATGGCCAATGCCCAATATTATGGACAAGACATTAACACAGTCGCAAATAGCACTGATCTAGAATGTTTGAATCATGGAAATTTCACGCAAACAATTGAACAATTGGGACGGCTAGATCGACGAAGCAGAAAGAATGAAGAGCTTGTAAGTTCATGATCGAGAGCGGCAAATTGAAGTGCAACTCAAAGCCACTTCATCATGCGGAATTAATTATAAGCGCGCCGGCCGTAGCATCCAAAGTTTGATACTTTGCCAGTTGCATTTCTTGGTGCTTTATCATTCTATTAAACCACGCAAATAGCTGCGATCATAGCAGCATCACAGCATGCATAGCAATTTTTTTTTCAGCTAAAGCTAGCAAATTAAGAAACGCAATTAATATTGCAATGATTGGAACGACTAGACTTGTAGTTGTGGCCTTGTGGGACACTCGCTATTCGTTAATCAATACGTACTTGTCACCTTCGAGTTTCGACTTAATTTATGTAGCGGTGAGGCTCGATCAGGAGGAGGAGAGATAACCGGGATCTGCCCGAGCTGTAAAGCGTGAGCAAAGATGGTGGCAGGTGAAGAAGAACGGAAAAGAAAAGAAAAGGCACGTACGTTTTCGGAGAGTCCAATTGTTTTGGGGGGGTATATGGTGCTTTCATCAATCATTACTAATCTCTCCGTTTTATATTATAAAATATTTTAACTTTTGTAAAATCACCTTTTTTTCATTCATTTAAATCTATAAAAATACATAGTAATATTTTTAACCCAAAACAAATATACTATTAAAATATACTCAATATTATATTTAATAAAACTAATTAAATATTAAATATATTACTAAATTTTCTTAAACTTCTGTACCTTCCCTTTTTTTTTCTCCAGGGAAAACCTTGGATGTTGTATGGTTGTAAAAACTTTGTTTCTCCTCCTGCTTAATTAAACTAAAAAAAAAGTCATTTCCTCCATGCCGGCCCTGCGCGATCGCAGCTACTGTGCTGTGTCCGTTCCAACGCCACCGTCGCGCGTCGCGAGCACCTCGCCGACACCGACGAGCGACAGCATATCTGCCGGCAGTCGAAACGGCCCCGACTTCACGGGCGCACCGCGCGCGGTGGACGGATCGCGTCGCACTTGCATTACAATGTCATCCGGCGCACGCACGCACGCCGTCGCAATCCTTCGCGGTGGACGCCGCCACGCTGGACGAGCAGGCGAGGCGAGCCGCACCACGTACCGATCCACACGCGCGAACCAGTGTTGTACAGACGCGTGCGGGCCGTGACGGTCCAGGCGCAGCCGCGCGGCAGCCGAATTAGCGTCGGCGCGGCCCGCAGCCCCGCAGGTGAAGCCGATATGGGCCATCCTGCCGACCTTGCCCTCCGGGTCCAACTCCAAACCCCCTGCGTATGTGTGCAATTCTGGTGGCCGCACGTCTCGCGGTCGCGGGCACGCGAATACGCGATACTGTGGAATTGTGGAAGCGATGTGGTGCTCACTAGGCAGGGGTAGAAATGGTCACGAAAAAGCGCCGTTCCGTATAATGAGTAACGTTTTTTACCGTTACTGTTTATGGCTGTATTTAATTTTTGTTTTTTCTATTTTCTTTATGCACTGTATTAATATCGACATTGAGTAGTTTAAGTGATACATATGGTCAATTGCTAGCCGATCGAACGTCGTTTCCGAAGAGATGCTATCGATTCCGACCGTTTTCACCCTTTTTTGGAAACGGTCGAGGAAAGGTCGAAAAACAGCTCAACCATCCTCGTAACCTTTTTTTTTCTGAAAACCAAAAAGGAAAATGGTATAAAAAATGTTGAGGACTCTGAAGCGGAATTGTACAAACAGAAACATGTCAGAATCGATCGGATCATCGGAAACCGATATAAATGTGCTTTCTCAAGTACCCTACAAATTTTCAAATTGTAAACTATACTACCTCCGTTTAAAAATAATTATCTTTCTAGGATTCAAAATTTATTCTAAAATACTTGTACTTATCCCATACATCACCTCCTATTAAATTTTGTCCCTATTCTACTCTTAGTCAACTCCCAACCATACATCATTTAATGAGGAACATTGTAATATTTATTTTTAAACCTTAATCTATACTAAACTATCTACATTTAACGAGTAGAATGATAAATATTTGAGGATTGAGGAAGTATCTTTTTAGCCTTGCTCTTAAGTTAGGGATTTGATTGAGGAGCTAACAGGCCTCATTAGATCAAATAGAGAAAAACCGTACATATTGAGGGTATCTAGAGATATCGTAAGTACCATATTATAAAAACGGTAATTTTCGCAAGAATACGGTAAGATAAAGATAAAGAAACAGTCGATATAACAGCGAAATCATTTCTATTTTTGTTTGCATATTTTTTTAATTTCATCGGTTACCATTTTCACATGACTCGGTTGGTAGAAATAAAAAAATGAGCTTTGGTTGGTTGGTAATTTTCGTGACCGTTTTCACACCTCATTGCTTTGCGGGTTTTGCCTTCCTGCCCCTCGATCGGTTTCACGCGATTTTGCCGACGAGATTACGAGGCACTACTGAAGTAGTGCAGTTTACCTGATGTGTGATGACCAGCAGGCAAGCAGGCAGGCTCAGCCGCAGAAAATACGTGCAACCGCGGGCGGCAATGCACGAGTCAATGCGCTCAGCTGGTGAACCGAAGGCACCACCGGCCGGTTCAGTGACAAGGCTCCGACATCGAGTCCTTTACAAATCACAATGGATAGAAGTCTACTTCTCAACCCATACCCATGCCATATTGCCATACAGGGGTTGTCACGAAATGTTTATCTGTAACAATCTATAAAATTTATTGGAACGCATTGTCAGCAAGGTGGTCGTGCCGGAGTGGTTATCGGGCATGACTAGAAATCATGTGGGCTTTGCCCGCGCAGGTTCGAATCCTGCCGACCACGTTTTTTTTTCTCATTTCTGCCTTCTGTTTTCACAATTTCCATTCTTTTCGTTTCTGCCATCTGCTTTCAAATTTCCCTTTTTCTTTTTCGTTTCTGCCTTCTATATATTTTCACATGTTTGAAAAAGATAAGTCCCAGTTTTCCCCCTCTAGTTTAAAAAAGATATGTTCCATTTGGTCCAAAGTACGCAAGTATAGCACCTCTGTAAACGTAACGGGCATACTACTGCACACGCCACCATCCGTCCATACCCGAAATGCCGAGGTGAGCACATCTCTCTCTCTCTCTCTCTCTCAGTCTGACCCTATATATCCCCAGTGATGATGAACAAAATCTCCATAAATGAACTCTCGTAATATCCCACTGTATCAACCGGATTTCGCGAGGCTCGCATGCACACGCCGCATTAGCCAAGGAGTGAATTCGCGATTGAAAACCAATCTGGCATTAATGTGTCCGATGTTTTGTTGCCAACTGCTAAATGAAGTGCCAGCAGAGTTGCCCCCCTTCCAAATCATTCCTTCGCGAGTAGTAGAAACTGGTGTTCTCATTTGTTCGAAACACACACCACCAGGCAGAGGCAGATTTTTTCTCATTTCCTCTTTGCTTTTTTTCATTTCCCAACTCGAGTTCGCTTCGATGATGCAGCAGCTTCATGGCTCCGACTCCGTGCAAGCGCAGCGCCGCCGCCCAAGGTGTTCGTCATATGCATATGTGTTCGCACACAAAAAAAATTCCTTTCTCTTTTTTTCCCCTCAAGAACACGGAGAAAAATATCTCGTTTTCCCCTTTTGAGAATTATGATCCTTAGATCTGTCGTTGTGGACGTGTTTGATGGTGATCTCTTCGTGCGTGTGTGCTTGTTTTGATGCAGGAATGGTGACGCCGCCGCCAAGAAGCAGCCGTGGTACAGGCGGGCGTTGGGTGGGCTGATCCCGTCGGCGCGACGTGCCGCCATAGCTGCGCCGCCGCCGCCGGCGGCTGCCGTGGCGGGGGCGGTGGAGAGGAGGCCAAGGTGGTGGTGGGGGTCGTCTCTGAAGACGACGTCCGCCGCGTTCGCGAGGGAGGTGTGCATATGCGCTCCGCTGTGCTCCTACGACGGGATCATGGGCATCCAAGTCGACGCCGTGGCGCCGACGATGATGGCGAGGAGCAGCGCCGCTATCTCTCCCTCGCCACCGCGGCGGGCGTCTCCGGCCAGGTCCCCTACTGCTGGCGCCGCCGGTGGTGGCGGTCGCCGCTCTCCCGCATCGCCGCGGACGGCGTCGTCCCCGAGGTCGAGCAGGGCCAGGGCGCACCCTGCGCCGGTGTCCGTGGCGGCGCCGGCGCCGGCTGCGGCGGCCGTGGAGGGGCCGAGGAAGAGGGTCTCCTTCAGCGGCGGCGAGTCGCTGTGGAACGACGAGCTGGTGCGGCGGTTCGTGCGGGCGCAGGAGGGGATGCCGCGCCGCGGCGAGATAGACATGGCCAACCGCCACCGCCGGAGGAGGTGGCGGGCACCGGGGAAGAGCCGGCTCCGCCGGATGTCACTGGCCCATGTCGCCGACGACGACGAAGATGGAGAGACCAACGCTCTGGCCTAGCTAGCTAGTGGCGTGGCTGCTATGTGGTGAGGTTGGCTAGCTATATATATAGCTCAGGTTGCTCTTGCTCACAAGTCCCCTTTGGTTATACTTTTATGCTCTTGAGGAACATGCTCTATGTTGTTAGGGTTGTGATGTCCGTTCGATGCTACTTGTTGCGGAAGAAAACCGCGAGGAATAATAATAGACTATCCGTTACTATGGTTGGGATGTCGGTTCGTTGTCGTTTACCGGAAAAGGAAATTGCGAGTACTAACGGAATATCTATTAGTAGGATTGGTATGTCGGTTTCACTTTAATTATTGCAGAATAATGTTTGCGTTTAACGCACTGGTGGTTATTATGGTTGGGATATCGGTTTTATGCGATTTTTATTGCAGAAGTGGTAGAATGAAATTTTGAATAATGAATGTACTATCCAATGTTGGGGGTTGGGATGTTGGTTTGATACCAATTACTGCAGAATGGAGTTGTGAGTAATGATACACGCTATGGTTTTTTAGGTTGGGATGTTGGTACCTCGCTGATATTACAAAATTGAAATTGTGAGTAAAAGGCTATAATATCGGTTAGTAGAGTTTGGGATGTCGGTTTAGTGACAAGCATTGTTGAACAAAGTTGTGAATATCACATTAAGGTTTACTGTTGTTGGAATTTCGAAGGGAACTGTTGTTGGGATTTTGGTCATGGTCTATTATTGCGCAACGAAAATATGATTAATTGACAATTGGTTATTTAGAGTTGGGACATAGGATGAATTAATGTCAATTACTCCTACTTTAGAAGAAGTAGCCAGTACTATACTATCCATTTTGCATTGTTAAATAGCAGTGGGATGTTTGGTATTTTTGTTGCTCCTAAGTTTCTATTTCCTAGCACAAGAATTTTGACAAAGAGTATATGTGCCGGTACAATAAGTAGACTTGTGGATGAAACAGTATGTTGACAGAAGAAAAAAGGGCTGGACTAACTATAGATTTTACAGTATCAAATGATAAATACTGTATGATTTAGCATACTTCATAAGCTAATTAGATTTTTATAAGATAAACATCATGAATGAATGTAGAAGATTAAAATCAATATATATGCATCTTAGAAATATGAAATTAGATCGTGAAACCTCACTTTCTTTCAGCCATTGTAAAGAAAATCATCGTGGACCACCCTGTCGGGAGTAGAAGTTGGATAGAGCAGTAATAGTACAATACAGCTTCCCTTATTTTGTAATGTCAAAATTATGATTATATTTTTCGTGTGACCAAATATTTACGTGCACACTGTAGCCAGTTTGAAAAGTTTTTACTATAGATTATTCCATTATAATATCTAGCTTTAACATGGTTTTAATCTTTTCAATGCATGTCTCGTTAATTCTTTTTTTTACGGAGAAATGTCTCGTTAATTCAGATGTTGTGAGTGATAAGTTAGAGAAACTCTTGCAGAAACATTTCCTTTTTCTTTTGCAAAATTTTGGCATTTCAAACATGCCGCACGGTGGCTCTGGCCTGTATGCTGTAGCACATGCATTGGATATGTGCAGGGGAAACCGTGCTAGACCACCAGTATAAAATAGAGGATGCCAGCGATCGATTCAGGTGCAAAACCAATCTACGCCTATCATTCTGCTATGCTCTTCGATGCTGATTAATTTGCATTTTTTTTCTGTTAACATGCATATATAGTAACATAACATTAAGTCATTTTTTTCATCTTGATTGGTTCAAGTGTATATACCCAGTTGTAGTTTTTCATTTCTGAATATCACCTAAAAGGAGACATAGCTGATATTGTTTCATTTCTCTTGATTAAATAGTGTAAAAGTTGTTATAGCAAAATTAGCCCCCCCCCCCCCCCAAAAAAAAAAAACAGAGAGAGAGAAGTTAAAACTATACAAGGATTAGCACAACATTATGGCATGATAGTCGACTAGTGGAGACTGGAGAGATATCTATCCTTGCTCCCGCCATGACCGATGTTTGAATTTCATTCTCTAGCTAGGAAGACGATCGATGATGGAATTTGATGAATGAAACGCAACGACTAAATTAGGGGACTGGTGATGAAATTGAAACATTGCACGGTTACAAAGAAACTGTAACATTTGTTGTACATCCATATGAACCCAGGTTGATAAATCTAGAAGCAATCTTTCTGAGACAATGATTGTGAACGACACAATGTAACATTTTTTTTGCCAATGTGTTCACAAATTACAAAAAATACATTTCTTGCCAGATTCTTGTAACTATTATCCATCCATCACTGGCTGATCACTGCGTGTTGAGCACGGTGAGGATGCAGCTGGAGATGTCCTGAGAGCTGTACCCCGTCAGCTCCTGCAGCTCCGAGCTCCACGGCAGCGCACCCGGCGGGTTCAGCGTCCACCTCGCGATGGAGATCGCCGCCGCCGCCACCATGGACGGTAGGTAGCCCAGGCAGCCGTAGCTCTCCAGCGACCGGTCGGCGACGTGACACGCCAGCCGCTGCACGCGCAGCTCTTCCTTCCCCTTGCTGTACCGGGTGAAGTGCTCCACGAACGTCTCCGCGTTCGGGCCGCCCAGCCGATAGCCCAGTGCCGCCATCATCTCCCTCTCCATCGCGAGCACCTCCTGCGCCGACGCGAACTCGCCGTAGCTGGCGATCTCCCTGGCGTCCAGCTTGAAGACCGTCCCCTGGTCCTCGTACTTGGCCGCCGTGTACACGGCCGTGGCGGCGACGAGGCTGAGCTGGTGCGCGGTGTAGCTCGGCAGGGCTCTCACGGACAGGAACCGGTCGAAGTAGGACACGGCGCGGTGGAGCGTGCCGGCGGCGAGTTCGTAGCGGTGGGTGAGCCTCCCCATCCAGGCGACGAGGGAGGCGCGCGCCGCCGCGCTGATCTGACCGCCTTGCACCGTGTCGAGGTAGTCCGGCGACGGGCGCTGGGCGGCGTCCTTCTCCATGTCACGGAGGTTGGCGTCGATGTCGTCGTCGTAGGGCGCGCACAGCTGCGGGCGCGACGCCGTGGAGTTGTCGGGGGCCGGAGCGTCGTTGTCGCCGTTGTACTGCTCGCTCCACTCCAGCTGCTGCATGAACGCCCTGATGGCGTCGCCTTCGTCGACGGGAGCGGCGTACACGGGCTCGGCTTTCGCTGGAACGGGGAGGGGAGGGAACCCCGGCGGCGGAGGAAGACGGCGAGCGGGCGCAGCGTACACGGGCTCGTCGGCCAGCCCTGGAACGGGAAGCGGAGGGAAGCCCGGCGGCGGAGGAAGATGGCGAGCGGGCGCAGCGTACACGGGCTCGTCGGCCAGCCCTGGAACGGGAAGCGGAGGGAAGCCCGGCGGCGGCGGAAGAAGGGCACAGGGCACCTTGACATCCACCTTCGTGTCCCAGTCGTAGAGTACGCCGTTGGTGTCATCATTCGATGCCATGGACTCCACCTCGGCGGCGGCGGCCAGGTCGGCGCCGGGCGCCGCTGGATGCGCCGGGAGCGCGCCGATGGCGCGGAGGTACGCGTCAAGAACCCCGACATCCATCTGCGCCGCGCCGCCGTCGCCGGGCAAGAGCTCGACCATCGAGGCCGTTATGTCGTCAGCGAGAAGGTCGGCGACGTAGGGCTCCATGATCGAATCCATGGCCGCTCTCGCTCGCTCGCCGGAGCAGTGTGGGAGACTGGGAGAGCGGAGGCTAGTGGTGGAAGAAGAAACTTGCACACGCTGGTGGCGACTGGCGGCGAGGCGATGGTGATGGTGTCGCGCTGCGCTCCTCGCCTCTTATCCTGGCTGCCACCATGGGTGTTCGATCCGATTCAGGCCAGGCTTCGCGCGCAATTCCGAATCGGGATCGTATTGATCTGATATATTTGATTTGAACCAAGCGAATCGGTGTGAACTCGTACTAGGCTGTAAAAAAAAAAACCTGGAATTAGGTTGTGTTCCTTTCCTATTTTGGTCTCCGACTCTGTCCCGAATTCCTGATGGGATTAACGGATAGCTGTAATTTCTTAATGATGATTAGTTGATTGTTTATAGTCCTGAATTAGTATATCGACTTACGAAAGCGTTTCTTTCTTTCTTTTTTCTTTGGGTTAATTTGGCGTCCGTGTGAATTTGGTTACAAGAAAATTGGGTATCAGGTTAATGTTTCCAAATCGTTCTGGAGTCATCAAAACTCAAACACGAGCGCAAGAAAAATCCATCAAGATTTCTAGCGCTGTAAATTAATTCACCGATCAATACTATTTTGGGTAGGATATTACTAACTCCATTCCATATACACCGGAACACACCAAAAAAAAAGTCAACTGTGCTTAAATTCTTAAAATACATATATTTCTCTAAGGAACACGGTAGAGACATTATATATGATGAACAAAATTACTTAAGAATGATTAATTGATCAGTTAGTCCTGAATGGTGCCAAACTGCCAACAACATGATTAAGTTTTCGTCTGATTAGAGCAATTTGAACGTGAGTGCACTCCTGCAGATTTTTACTGGATTTGATCAGAGCATATAGAGAATGTGAATTCGATCATTATCAAGCTAAATATTGGTGTAAATCTCATCCAAAAATCAAGTTAGAGAAAATACATGGGCAGTTTGTTTTGTCTATCTAATAACGCCGTAGATTATATGTATTCTATTCTTTGAGTCCTTTTTTCTAAATTTCTTTGGAGAGCTATACAATTCTCTTTTGGACTTTATCCTCCACATAGTATATCTCATATGTTTGGGAATTGGCTTGTGGGTGTTAGTAAAAAAATCAAAAAACTTATTCTTGTTGGAGCTTCCGCTATATGTTGGGCTCTTTGGCTTAGTAGAAATGATATGGTTTTTGATAAAACACCATCAAAATCCTATTTGCAGGTGCTTTTCAGGGCAATGTATTGGCTTCAGGGTTGGGCTCAGTTGCAAAGGCATGATGAAGATATCAAGCTAATAAATGATGAATGTCGTAAACTTGAGACGACAATTATGTATCTATTTGCCAACTTCGGGTGGAGGTTCTCTATTAGAATTCAGTAGTTAGAGGATCTTTTTCTTTTGTTGGTGTCTATTAGTTTGCTTAGCTTTGTTTCTGCTTTCGTGAACTTTCTGTGTGAGTTCTGTAATAATTGGCTGTAACTCTTTGAGTAAACGCCGGAATGTTACATTCCATTATCTAAAAAGAAATATGTATTATTGGGAGTAAGCAATATCAGAAAGCTTGGCTCCGAAACTTTGTTCAATCCGTATAAAACACTTGGCTCCGAAAGCTCGACTTTGTACAAATATCCAAAAATCGCAGATGACACTCATCAGGTGTGAGAATATAGATCTCGATGATGTATTGGAGAACATACTGGTGATGCGTCACTACCAGTGAAATACCTGGGATTACCTTTCACCGTTGGTAGATTGCTCAAGGCAGACCTCCAACCACTCTTCGATAAATTGGCAGGAACGATGGCTGTTTGGTGGGAAAGAAACATGGGGCTAGCTAGACGCACCACTCAAGTCAAGTAAGTGCTTTCCTTGCAGCCAATCTATGTCCTAATAACGCTTAAATTTACCAAGGTATCCCTATAAAGTGCTTGACAAACAATGAAAGAGCTTCCTATGGGTGGGTTAGGAAAACATAACGAGCGGGAAATGCAAAGTATAATGTGCTCGCCAACTGCCTACGGCAGCCTGGGCGTGCTAAATCTAGAAAGCTTTGCACTAGCACTACATGTCAGATGGCTATGGTATGAATGGAAATCCCTGGACAAAGCATGGGTCGGCTTGGATACCCTGTGCGACGAAACCGATAAAATACTCTTGTCAACTACAATGATAACCATTGGGGACGGAGCAACATCACATTTTTGGGACTTAGCCTGGATGCACGGTCGCCACCCGAAGGATGTCATGCCACAAGTGTACACAATCTCCAAAGGGAAGAATAGAACCTTGAGGGATACCATCACAGACAATACCTGGTCGCAAGACCTAAATCTCTCAATCATCGGAGACATGTCAACTAAGCTTCTAGAGCAACTAGTGACCTTGTGGACAACAGTTCAAAGCGTGCAACTCTCCCCAGGTGTTGTAGATGAAATCATTTGGAGGCTCACAAATCATGAAGAATACTCGGTTCCACCTAAAAAGAGTAGTTCCTTGAATCCACTAGCACAAACTATGACATAATCATTTGGAAACCATGGGCACGAAACAAATGTAAGTTGTTCGCTCGGCTTGTGATCCGTAATAGGGACTGGATATTAGACAAACTAGTGATTCAAGGATGTCCAAACAACACTTACTGCCTGCTCTGCAGACACGAATTGGAGACTGCTTTCCACCTCCTCGTGGACTGCAGATACATGAGAAGAATCTGGAACATGCTCGCAAACTAGATGTTGCAAGGGCACATAAAGTCAGCCAGCTGGATTCCCGCTATAGTCCATACCTGGTGTACAATCATCCGGAAAGCGTAGGCACCAAACAAATGTAAGTTGTTCACCTAGCTTGTGATCCACAATAGGGACTGGACATTAGAAAATTAGTGATTAAGGATGGGAAACTGTTTAACAGCTCGAGTGGGCGTCCACCCATTTATTGCATGTCATCTAAATGGTTATGAAAAAAATGAAAAAATATGAACAAGATAGATCAATATGTAATATATCAATCCACAAATATGCAAGTTGAAATTCAACTTCTACAAATTGTAACAAACATAACAAACAAAACTCAAATTACTATATGTATATTTACAATTAAATTTGTTATTTTTGTTACAACTTTTAGAAGTTGAATTTGAACTTGCATGTTTATGGAGTGATATATTACATATTGATCTATCTTGTCAATTTTTTGAAAATTTTTCGTAACCATCTAAACGGGTGGACGTCCACTCAAGCTATTAATTAGAATCCATCTCCGATTAAGGATGTCCAAACAACACTTATTGACTGCTCTGCAGACACGAATTGGAGACTGCTTTCCACCTCCTCGTGGTCTGCAGATACATGAGAAGAATCTGGAACATGCTCGCAAACTAGATGTCATAAGAGCACATAAAGTCAGCCAGCTGGATTCCTGCTATAGTCCATACCTAGGGTATGGCGTTGCAACCTAACCTAGGACATCCAGGAAAGATGTTTGCACTCTGCTACTACTAACGGCATGAGAGATATGGATAGAGCTCTTGACAATATCCCTCGTTACGAAAATAAAGGAGGACACTAAAACTTGGGCCCTAGTAGAAGCAAAATGCCTTGCACATATCAATCCTTAGTTTTTTTAGAAAATACTTTCCCATTTCCTTTTCCTTTTCTTTTGTAAATCTCTTCTTCCTATACAGTTTTTCCATCCCAGTATACTCAACGAAATTGGCGCACCTAAATACCGATTTGTTAAAAAAAAAAAAGCTCGACTAGGTGGTTCAGCCGTTGTGTACTGCATCCTAGTGCAACAGATACCACCATCTATCACGTGGCAGGTGGCACGAGAAGTTGTGAGTTCGCGAATGCATGTACATGCAGTAGACCAGTAGGAAGAAGAGAAACGGTACAGATCGATCGATAAAGATGTACAGAAACCAGAGTACGAAAAGTTAGTAATTTTGAATTTGATGAATCATACATATTTCAACCAAAACTCACAAATTTGGACTTATAGATCGATGTACATACGAACGCTAGCAACAAAATTGAAGCCATCATGCATTGCATCATTGCATGGTTGTGCCTTTACAGACTTTTTTTTTGACATAAGCTTTTACAGACTCTCTTGTTCTTCCTATACATTGGCTATGGATCCTGGAAGAAGTACTCTTGAAAGGGAGCAAAGCGAGGACATGCGATTTGACTGTACATGTCGCAGACGCAGCCCATCAAGTCGATGGCCTCGTACCCGGTGAGCTCGGCGAGATCCCTGCTCCACGGCTCATGCCCCAGCACGTGCAGCCTCGCCAGGAAGATCGCCGACGCCGCCACCACGGACGGCAGGTAGCGGTGGAACCCGTACGTCAGCAGCGACCCGTCGGTGAACCGATGCGCCGCCTCCTTCAACAGCTCCTCTTCTTTTCCGTCGCCGTAGTACCTCGTGAAGTGCTGCACGAACGTGGACGCCGTCGGGCCGCTTAGGTTGTAGTCGAGCGCGGCGAGGATCTCGGTCTCCATGCACGACACCATCTTGTGCCTGGTCTCGCTAGTGTAGCCGCACCGGGCGGCGACCATGCTGGCGTCGATCTTCCTCAGGGTGTACTGGTCCTCGTACTTGGCGGCGAGGAACACGGCCGTGGCCCCGACGAGGCGGAGCTGCAGCACGTCGTCCGACTCGGGTGTCACCGACAGGTAGCGGTCCAGGAAGTAGGCGGCGCGCTGGAGCGTGCCATCGGCGAGCTCGTAGAACCGGCTGAACTCGTCCATGAAGGCGATCATCGAGGCGCGCACCAGTGCGGTCATCCGCCCACCTTGTGTCGTCTCCAAGAAGTACGGGGAGGGCCTCTCCGCGGGGTTCGTCTCCATGGCACGGAGGGTGGCCTCGATGTCGTCGTCGTAGGGCGCGCACAGCTGCGGTCGTGTCGTCGCTGAGTTGTTGGTGACCACCGGCTGATCAGCGTGCTCTGGCAGCAGTGGTGCGACATCGATCGTCTTCTTGGGTGGCACCGGGTGATCGCCGCCTTCTGGCAGCGGCAAGGTCTCCTGGACGACGGTGACGGAGAGCGGTGGAAGATCACCGTAGATTGGGAGGAAGCTGCCGTAGGTGTGAGGGGTACGGGGGGAGTCCGGTGGCGGCGCCGGTGCGAGCGGAGCTGCCGGTGGCGGTGCAAGCGGAGGCAGTGCGCCGATGGCGCGGAGGAAGGTGTCGGTATCCACCATCTGCGGAGTGCCGCCGCCGGAGAAAGGATGGAACATTGGGAGCGATGTTTGATCAGCAAGAAGTTCGGCGAGGCAGGGATGATCCATGATCGCGTCCTCCATGTAGGGATCCAAGATCAAATCCCCCATGGTCGCCGGAGCCCGGAAGCGAGATCGAGGGAGAGCGAGAGGAGTCAAGAGGCGGTGGCGGGAAGAAACTTGGACGGTCGCGTGGTGGTGGCCGAGGAAGGATGGTGCCGCACTCTCGCCTTTTATCCTCGTGCCACGATCCGACTCTGATCAGGCTGCGCACGCGTGAAGGAATCCATCAAATTCAAAGTTCGCGCGGTTTTCCGAATCAGGATCGAACTAATGATGTTTGATTAGAGAGGACTAAGCGCGTGCGTTTCTTTCCTTTGTTTGCATCTCCGACTCGATCTCTGTCATGATGAAATTCACCGATCATACGATACTATTATACATACACTGACACACACACGCGAAAAAAAAAGAGCACATCATCACGCAAAAAGAAGTCCAAGCACTCAAATTCTTAAAATCCACTAGAATGGTAGATTAAGCATGGGAGATGACATACCATACTATTATGGATTCATGCACATTGCTAGAGAAGTTACCTAACAGTGAGCATATGCTAACACTCTATCAAAATCTTCAGGATTTCTAAGCAGCTGAGCAGAACAAAAACATGGTGGACGTCCAATCGAGTGACTAAAAGAGAAACTACCTGTTAATCTTTCGGTAGATTTATAGCATCGATTTTTGTAGAATTTTCAACCAATCAATGTAGCTCGTTTTAAGTGAAATAACATAAAAAAAAGACAAGCATGTAAAAAATCGTAAATATAAAGAAAAAAAATGTTGCAAAATCTAATTTTGGTGTACTGTAATTGAGTGTAAGAGCTATGTAATTAAGTGTAACTGCAAGTTGGATATAGAAGAGCACAAATTTTGATGCAAAATCCTACGGATGAAAAAGTGAAAGATAGGAGCCCAAAATTATGTCGCAGTTGAAACAACAAATCCGTTAAAGGAGTTTCCTGGACAATGGTAAAAGTGCGTTAAGCGAGTTCAGGTAAATCTCAGGCAAAACGTAAGCGTAGTACTACCTCTATTCTATTATGTATGACGCTACAAGTTAAACTAAAACGATTCAAAATGTATGACGTTGCAGGGCAAATCATTTATGTATGACACATTGTGTACCGACTTTGCCCCTATCCTCCGATGGCGCCGTTGAATTCTCCTCCTCCGCTACCATTGCGCACCGCAGCCGGTTCCGCCTCCCAGGCGATGTCGTCGTCCTGACCTCCACCATGGCTAGATCTAGTGGTAGTCAGTGTTTAATCTTTCGGTTTGATCATTTTTAGCGGGGTGGCCGTAATATCGCAATTTTGAAAATTTCAGCCCGAAATTATATGAATTTTTAAATAAAATTTGATACAAATTTAAACAAAATGTTACTAAATTCATGAAAAGATGAAATAAATAAAAAATTTCAGCCAAAATAATATCATACTGGGAGATCCAATAGAACTGAAATTTCGATCCGAAATTTTGAACCGTGGCAGTACAATGGCTAAAGTGGTTTCTCCGCAGCGGCGTTGTACGAGCTCTGCAAGCTAGCGGAGAACATGCATCGCATCGTGTGTGCAAGCGGGGCGGCGCCCGCGCTCACCGACTCTGCCCGCGTCGCGGATGTGCTCATCTTCTTCGCCAAGTCCAGTGAGAGCCGCCACGAGCTGTCCACTGTCCGGTATCCCTAGCATCGTAGTCCTGCTCGCCGCAGCCAACATTGTCAGCAGTGGCAACACCCGTGCAATCGAGCGTGCGCTCGTCGTCTTCGATTGGATTTGTGCCAAGATCAACGAATTGGCATTGGCATGGGAGGCAATAAATCTTGGTCTAAGAGAAATTCTTTTGAATCCCAAATCATCCAATCTGAAATGCTCTATGATATTTTTCTCTGAAATGGCTCCTGTTAAATTCCAATGTTCTCAATGCTGTCCTGTTTCGTTCTTGATGCTTATTCAGATGCTTGTTCAGAGTGACAAGGAGCAGCGGTCTTGATGGATCCAAAATAAAGGAGGACATGTCATTCCCAGAAACATTTCATCATCTTACAGCTCATGTATAAACTGAAGTAGAATTCAGAAATGAACTGAACACCAAAAAGCTGAATCTTAATCAAGGAAATCGAGGAAAATTTTGTATCTTAATCAAGTTAGTACGGGGCCAAATTCAGCTACAGGATCACATGTCACTATCAGCTGTGAAGGAAGAATATTTTTGTTCTGCTTTAATTCAAAAAAACCTGAAATGGAAGTAAAGAAAACACCAATTACAACTGATGCAATATATATTATGTACAAATAACCAGAAAGAAATAAGATTAAGAGTATACCAATAGTCTGGACACATATGTAATTAGTCCTTGAACACGCGGCACGCCCCATCCTCGCATGACTCTTCCTTCTGGGCCCATGACAGGATTTTTTTTTTCGCCAATACTCGTCCTCCTGTCCTGCTCTTGCAATTCTCACATTCACTTCCAATGATTGGTTTGTGATCAATGGACAAATCAATTGCCTTAAGATGCAACATAAATAGGGAAAATAATAAGCATCAAATTAATGCATTAGCTAGCACTACAAAAATCCGTAATTTTCTTGGCGGCCAAAAACCGCCAAGTATAGTATGAAAATCGCCAAGATTAATTATTCCATTGGCTGACCGCCAAGTCTAGAAAGCTAGAGATATTCAGATTCCGTGGTTGCTAACCGTAAGGGAATATCTTCTTGGCGGTCGAACTACCAAGCAAATTAAGAAAGTTGTGAACTTTCAAATGCGCCAAGAAATGTAACCTTGTCCCTTTAGACCAACAAAAATATATCTTTCCTTGGCTGCTGAGAAACTGCCAAAAAAATTCTTACTCTTGACCGTTAGAACCGCTAAGGACATTTTTTATCCTTGACGGTTAGTACCACCAAGAAAGATTATCCTTGTCAGTCAGGGCCACCAAGAATAACTTATTGATGTCCAAAACTGTGTCTTTCCCTGGCGGCCCTACCTACCATGGCAATCAAGAATATATTTGGGGTGTAATATGAGTAATTTCCATGGCGGCTAGAAATGCTAGGGCCGCCAAGAAATTATCTTTGGGGTACATTATGCAGATACAGTCCAAATATTGGTGACACACACACTATATACACACATGCAGTCCAATGCAACACAACATAGCGAAAGTAATGTGAAAGTCAATATAGCTGGCCATTATGTGAAAGTACGCCGCGAGAATCGCCAACATTTCCAACAATGGTAATTTTATCTTACCTAAAGGTATAATATTTTTTAGTGTAAAATTTAGTATCTTTACGTACTATCTATCTAAAGATAAAAAAAAATTAGTGTAAAATTTAGCTATCTCAAGGTGTTTTCTCAAGAATTGTAAAATTTATCTTCCAACGATGATCTGATTTCCTCTGATGATTACCATGTGTGACGTGTTTCTTTTGTATAACGACGCTCTGTAAGCCTGCTGATCAGGGAGCAAAAATCCCAATTGAAGTGTAAAAACAAACAATTCAACAGTTCCATGAAAGAAAAATGCTACAAAAATGTGTGAAATGACACCGGAGAAAAATAAAGGCATACATAAAATAGAGGAGTAGAATAAGAGTCGGATTCTATACTAAAGGGATATACCTATTGTAGCAGGATGGCGACATGGCGACTTAGCATAGCGAGAGGGAGCGGCTGCCAGCGACGTTCGGCCAAGGGTTGCTGTAACTCTGATATATACGCTGTAATATGTTGGATCGGGGATGTGTACCCGTTATCAGTGCCTCGGGGATATAAGCTACGACTCTCAATGACGTCATTGTGTTTGGATCTCCTATGACATTTTTCGCATTTGGTTTCTAATGATGATCTTGGGCCAGTTTTATAAGGCTTTTACGTGTTTGTGAATAAAAAAAAGATGAAGATGAAGACAACCTCCGGGCCATGTTTGCAAAGACTCTCTATCAGGGGGCCAAAAAACCTCAATCAAGTTGCGTTGCATGGCAACCATGAACAATCAACAGAAACATGTTTACAAGGGATCTCTACTCCTACCGATGTCCTCATCGATCAACCGATCGATCACTGCGTTCTACATGGCGAAGATGCAGCTGACGAGGTCCTCGAAGCTGTACCCCGTCAGCTCCTGCAACTCCGTGCTCCAGACCAGCGCGTCGTGCCGGTTCAGCGAACACCTCGCGACGGAGATCGACGCCCGCCGGCCGCCGCCTCCATGGACGGCAGGTATAGTAGCCCCGGGCAGCCGTACGTAGTTCATTAGCGACTGGTCGGCAACGTCGCGCTCCAGCCGCTGCATGCACCCGTAGCTTTTCCTCTCCCCGGCTGTTGTACACTTGTACCGGGTGAAGTGCTCCACGAACGTGTCCGCGGTTGGGCCATATGTAGAGACATCAGAGTACCAAAAGCTAATAAATTTGAATTTGATGAATTAATCACATATATTTCAACCAAATAACACGCGCAATTTTGAGTTTACAGATCAATGTACAGGCAACAGTGCAAAATTTAAGCCATCATATTCATGCTTTGCATGCTTGTGCTTTTACAGACTCTTTTGTTCTTCCTATACATGGGCTATGGATCCTCGAAGAAGTACTCTTGGAAAAGAGCAAAGCGAGGACATGCAATTTGACTGTACATATCGCAGACGCAGCCCATCAAGTCGATGGCTTGTACCCCGTGAGCTCCGCGAGATCCTTTCTCCATGGCTCATGCCCCCGCACGTGCAGCCTCGCCAGGAAGATCGCTGACGCCGCCACCATGGACGGCAGGTAGCGGTGGAACCCGTACGTCAGCAACGACCCGTCGGCGAACCAATGCGCCGCCTCCCTCATCAGCTTCTCTTCTTTCCCCTTGCCGTAGTACCTTGTGAAGTGCTCCACGAACGTGTACGCCGTCGGGCCGCCGAGGTTGTAGTCGAGCGCGGCGAGGATCTCGGTCTCCATGCACGACACCATCTTGTGCCTGGTCTCGCTGGTGTAGCCGCAGCGAGCGGCGACCATGCTGGCGTCGATCTTCCTCAGGGTGTACTGGTCCTCGTACTTGGCCGCCAGGAACACGGTCGTTGCTGCGACGAGGCGGAGCTGTAGCGGTCCAGGAAGTAGGCGGCGCGCTGGAGCGTGCCGTCGGCGAGCTCGTGCAACCGGCTGAACTCGTCCATGAAGGCGATCATCGAGGCGCGCACCAGTGCGGTCATCCGCCCACCTTGTGTCGTCTCCAAGAAGTACGGGGAGGGCCGCTCCACGGGGTTCGTCTCCATGGCACGGAGGGTGGCCTCGATGTCGTCGTCGTAGGGCGCGCACAGCTGCGGACGTGTCGTCGTCGCTGAGTTGCTGGTGACCACCGGCTGATCGGCGCGCTCTTGCAGCAGCGATGCGACCTCGATCGTCTTCTTGGGTGACACCGGGTGATCGCTGCCTTCTGGCAGCGGCAAGGGCTCCTGGAGGACGGCGCCAGAGAGCGGTGGAAGATCACCGTAGACAGGGAGGAGGCTGCCGTAGGTGTGAGGGGTACGGGGCGAGTCCGGTGGCGCCGGTGCGAGCGGAGCTGCCGGTGGCGGTGCAAGCGGAGGCAGTGCGCCGATGGCGCGGAGGAAGGTGTCGGTATCCACCATCTGCGGAGTGGCGCCGCCGGAGTAAGGATGGAACAATGGGAGAGCTGTTTGATCAGCAAGAAGTTCGGCGAGGCAGGAATGATCCAAGATCGCGTCCTCCATGTAGGGATCCAAGATCAAATCCCCCATGGTCTCGCCGGAAGTGAGATCGATGGAGAGCGAGAGGAGGCAAGAGGCGGTGGCGGAAGAAAGTTGGACGCTCGCGTGGTGGTGGCGGGAGGAAGGATGGTGTTGCGCTCTCGCCTTTTATCCTCCTGCCACGATCCGACTCTGATCAGGCTGCGCACTCGTGAAGGAATCCATCCAATTCAAAATCCGCGCGGTTTTCCGAATCAGGATCGAACTAATGATGTTTGATTAGAACTAAGCGCGTGTGTTTGAAGTTGTACTAGCTTGCGCCGTACGCTCGTAAAACCGTAATTAGGCTTCTCCCATCTGTGTTTCTTTCCTTAATTTGTTTGCATCTCCGACTCGATCTCTGTCACGATGAAATTATTGTCTAGCTTAATTCACCGATCGATCATACGATATTACATAGACTGACACACACGGTCACGCGAAAAAAAAAAAGAGATTTGCTCCCATCCAGCAGGTACCATCGGTACTGTCCGGTACGAAATTTGAGCCATCCAATCAGCTCAATCGGATGATGGAAAATCTGTGGTACCTCCAGGTACAAATTTGCCCATGAGGTGGTACCGGAATATTTGGAGTGGTGGAAGGGTAATTTTGTCTTTTCGCGTAGAAGTGTCCAGGGGAGGGAAATAGGGTTTTCTACCAAATCTTTGCCATTCGATCCGTGAGAGGAGTAAGCGGCGAGCAAATCTCCCCTTCCCATCCGATCCGATCCGTGAGAGGAGTAGGCGGCGTCGGCGACTTGCTTCATCGGCCTGGAGTTGATCCGCGGGAGGCGGCGGGATCTGTGGGAGGCGGCGGCGACTTGCTTCGTGGGAGATGGCGGCGGCGGCGGCGAGTTGCTTCTGTCGGCGCCTACTTGCTTTGTGGGAGGAGGCGGCGTCGGCTGATCCGTAGCCGGCGGCGGCGGCTGATCCGTTCGAGGCGGCGGCGAGGTGCTCCGTGGGAGGCGAGGCGGCGGCGGGGGAGGCGAGGCGACGGCGGCGGCTGATCTGTAGGAGGCGGCCGGCGGCGAAGTGCTCCGTGGGAGGCGGAGGCGGCGGTGGCATCTAATCCATTTGAGGCGGAGGTGGCGGCGGCAGCGGGTTGTTCGTGGCGGCGAGGTTGTGGCGGGCGCAGTGATGCCTAGCGCGGCGAAGGCCTGGTGCTGCGGTGCTGCTGGTGGCGGGCGCGGCGGTGGCCTGGTGGCGGCCGCGTTCACGAGGTGGCGGCGGCGGCTGGTGCGTGGCAGCCTTGGCTGCGAGGTGGTGGCGTGCGTGATGGTGCCGGCCGCGGTGACGAGGTGGTCGTCGGAACCGGCGTTGTGGCGGCAGCGGGTTTGGGCTTTGCGCGGCTGCAGTGGCGAGGTGGTCGTGTAGTCTTCTTAGCCGGCGACGTGGCAGTGTATGCATCGATTTTTTTCATCTAATCTAAATCATTAGCTTCTGTTGGTTGCAGCGGTAGATACTTTCATTTTCTGGGCTGCATATGCTCTTCTTCTTCATTGCTTATAGGATTTGTATTGTACGATTTATTGGATGTTTTAATGAGCTCAGTTGTTGCTTGTTCTATGTGAATTTTCAAATGTTCAATACCCTCCCCTATCATTTACTGATTACATTGCAATTCGAGTGACTTCAAAATAAATCATGGATAGTAACAATGAGTGACTGCAAAATGATAATAGGATAGAAGAAAGAAATTGTTGATAGCATAACGAGTGGTACACTGATGAGTTGCTTGTTTTAATCATGGATAGTTACAATGATGTCTATATGAATCTTAGCCTAGAGCTAGTTGCCTACATTTGCCTCGGTCACTAGGCGTTTAATATCTTGCTGCACTTCAATCACTTCGTTCATAGTAGAATTAATGAGGTTGGCTACAACCTTATGTTTGAAAGTGGTGGTTGTATCCTGAAAAGCAAGTTATGAAAAAATATCAATTAATGTCATTTTATTTACAAAGAGTACTGAATGCAATTTAAAATTACCATTTCATTGAACTCAGGGGAGAGTTCTTTTCCATTCCAATGCTGTATGAATTTCAATGTGTGCAAGCCACATGACCAGCTGTTGCAAGCATGTTCTTTGTAAGTGGTAATTCGTTATAGATAATTTGCGACAAAAATTAACTGTTTGTTTGACTTGTCACTTTGCTGAGGGACTTTCATTGGGCAGAATGGCCAATTGGTAATCCTGGTGTTCTTCCATTTGTTTTCAACGCCATCTTCTAGCCTTGCATACTGGATAAACTTTTCAATTCCTTTTATCTGAGTTATCAAATAGAGTATTACATATCTAATGTAAAAAGTTAGTAAGGAATAGTGATGAATCTAAAGGCACAATGTAGCATACTGTATTATTGAGGTCTTTATCTTTGTCGTAGTAGCTCTTTTCCATGCGCATCGAGTCTAGTATTTGAATTTTTTCTTTAGCACCATTGAGAACAGCCACGTACCAATGAGTTGAGTTTCTATTGAGTGGTAGGAAAATCTACATAGGAAATGAAATGTAAGTCATGCAGTTATTATTATGAAGGATATTTGAGGACATTGATATACCATATCATGTTGCAAATATTTTGCTGTAACTTTTGCTCTCTTGTCTCGATATTGCTTGTTGCGGGTTCCAATTTGTTCACCATTTGTTTTCCAGGCCTGGCAATGTGCTGTACTTTCTAGAAATGCAGTACCATGCTCTCTTGGACTTTCACTTGCATGTCTTTAATCAACATAATGTATGCATCTATGACCTGTGAAAGAATAAAGAACAAAATTTAGATACTGATAATATTACGTTGTATGGAAGAAGTTAAGTATTTCTTACACTGCCTTTCAACCACTTGCTTATGATTTGTGAGTCTTTGGGATTGACAAGTGGCCTAAGAAATTCATATGTAAGTTGTATGCCATCAATACTTGATAGCAATTTTTCATCATCATCACATTGCTTCATGTAATTGATGGTAATCTCATCCTGCAAGCTCAGTTCTGTAGTTTTTGGTTCCTTACTTCTCTTTAGAGCACTTGCAAATGTTTTTTTTGTAGTATAAGAATGGACTGTCTGATCTGTGAGTTGGCTTGCTAACCCTTCCATGTGGACGTCTCAGCCTTGCACCGATTGTGTCAACCTGATAGGATCAATTATATAATTATTACTGCATTGCTAAATAATTTAATATGTTGTCATGGTTGTAATTTTAATTGAAATACCATGTTTTTTTCAAACAAACTATCATCATCGCTTTCAATGATGTGTGGAGCTTCAGCTATCCCTATATCAGGAATGCATGTGATTTTGAATGCTTGATGAGAATTCTGAAATGTTAATTTTGGAAGGGATTAGAGTTGTAATAGTGATATCATATTACAAGATAAGAAAATAGCAGCACCTTATGATCCATATTCTTTCCATCGTTTTGATTATCAGTTTTTGGAATTTCTTTTGTTTGGGATGAGTGCTGCAAAATATTAGTAATGCTTAGGTACTCTCATAGTAGTAATAGAAATGTATTGAGATATGTTACCACCTTCTGGTCCTTTTGATCACTCCACAGAATGGCATGTATTTCACAGGAGTTCGAGTAAAAACAGCACAATGGTGCTAGTAGACAAACAATAAACAATGTATGCTCTGTTCACAGCTGACAGTAATTAAGACAAAAGCTCCATTCAACGATATACATGCTTTGTTCTCCAGCAAAAGCTTGTGCTTTTCACACAAATTCATTACAAGAACCATGACAGATTGAATTGTTCATTACAAAATAACTAGACCACACAATATAATCCTCTGACCAACAATACAACTTCCCAAACAAGGCATATTCAACTTCCACCAGTGCAAAGAAACACTTCAAACTCCAGATTCAACTTCCACCAGTGCAAAGAAACACTTCATACTTCTCATACATCTTCTTCTACTTTGCTGAAAATAAAATCACAGATCAAATTAGTAATATATAGAGAGAGTTTACATAAATTGACATATTCAAAATAATCATATTATATTTCACCTTAGGAAAATTGGACATGTTCGAACAGTGTGCCCATGGCCACGACAATAACCACAACGCCTAACACGCTTCTCCATGAATCCTCGTAGTCTTTTTGTTGGAGCTCCTTTAGGCACAATTTCCATAGGATCATGGACCTTATCATGACTCTCAATGTCTGTACGTAAACTTTGCGCTAGCACATGACCACATAAAGACAAATCTGAGTTCTTTGTCTCACATTCATCAGTTTCTAAGTCCAATTTTTCTAGCATCTCCATCACCATTAAAGTAGTTTCCTTAGACACCGAGCACTTGAAAAACACTTCCGTGCCCATGCTACGCAACCTGTGATATCTCTCCATCTGGTTTGACCATGTATATACTTCGCCATACCTATCAGAAGGAAACATGTGTTTCGCTTTAATTGTCCACCTACGCACTATGCATGCTTCAGGAATGGCATCGAGCTTCAAATGATGCATAATTGCAACCATATGCTCACATGGGAGGCATTCACGATCCATTTTTCTGCATGTGCAATTTATGCTCTTCATTGTTGATTCCACATATGTACAATTCAAGATTTGTAGCATCTCAGAATCACCTTTCATGGAAATAACATACTTAACCAAGTTGTCCTCTTCTATACAATCTATCACCTCCCAATCCATCGACTTAGCAATAACCAACTTCAACTTCTTAAAAACTGCAGGTGTAAATATACGGGCAGCATCTTTCTCAATAAAACTAGCATCATTAGAAGTGAAAGGGATTGATTGTGAAGCTTTACAATCTAGCTCAGCCTCCCTATACCTCATACGTGATAAGCAATGCTCATAATGCTCTACCAAAAGGACAAGGCTCATTTTACGATCCAAATACCTATGAAGTTTAGAATTCAGACTTTCACTACGTTGGTTGCTTTTCATCCCAAGAAAAAACAAACCTTTAGTGTACGCAGTAGCCCATTTCTTCCTCAAATTGTACATCCTCACAAGCCATTGGTTGTCTTCACA